AACAAAAACAACAAATTAGACTACAAGTTGTACCGAAGTCTCAACCAAGCATTAGGAAATTTATTCAAGTTAATGATAAAAGCGACAGTAGATCTAACTTAGAAGTTAGAATACCCATCGATATTTCAAATATTAAATCATTAAGAAGAAACGAACCATTCCAATTAAGTAATCATCCATTATCAAGATATGGGCCAAATGTGAGGCGAAAAATATCAGGAAGAAGGATCATTCCTGTTTATATTCAAAGAAGAACTCCTGAAAAAAGTTCTAGTATGTCGCTTGAATCTGATATTATTCCAAAGGAGAGATTCAAGATACGTATTCAAAACAAAGATGAAGAAGTTAGAACTAAGAGAACTGGGAGTGAAGAAGAAGAAGATGATGATGATGATGGTGATGATGATGATGGTGATGATGATGAAGATGATGATTACATTGAATTAGTTAGGATTAATAAGGATTCTAAACGAAATAATAAAAAAGAAAATGTTAAGTATACTAGTCGAGATGTCATCCTTGAACCTAAATATATACATCCAAGCCAATTAAAAAATGGGTACGAATTTTCCCGCATGCAAGGCCAATATTATCCACATGGAAATAATAATATTAATATGGTAAATCGGAAACCACAATATGGTATACCAATGTTCCCAATGGCGCCAAATGCTGGTGGATTACAGAATAGTCAGCAGATGATGATGAATCATAATAAAGAAAATGGCGATATGGGAGAATTTCAAAATAATTCAATTAATAATTTTAGAGATTCTCAACCTTGGTACCTTCAGTCAGCATTTATATTTTCATTTATTGGTATAATATTTCTATTAATTATTGGTGCAATTGCAATATACTATATTGCAGCTTAAACAAGAAAATTTATAATAGGTTATTCTTACTATTTTTGGCAATAAGAATAGTGGTAGTAATAATAAACAAAAAGTACCGATATTATTCAAAAATTGTAAAGGTTTAAGGAGTTTGAGAGAGAGGATAAATCTCTCAATCTAAAAAAGAAGAAAAAAAAAAAAAAGCTAGAAATTTTAAGGTAATGAAATAAATGTTTATTAATTATTTTATTAAATCTATTTTCCTATTATTAATTTTAAGGAGTAAAATTATAATAATTAGACAGACTTAGAGAAAAAAACACAATTAAAATAATAATAAGAAATAAATTAATGTTAAAGGTTTTTTAGTTATATATTAATAAGCAAAAAAAAAATAAAAAAATAGTTTTATAAGTTCAGTACTAATGTTTTTACTTTGTTTATTGAAATTTTTGAATACAAAAAGGAGTAGAAAAAAACTTATAGATAGAATTAAATATTAATAAATTGATAAAGTAATAGTTTGTGGCATTAATTAAAATTTTCATATAGAAATGGAATCTAATTGGCAAAGAAAATTGGGTTGATTTTCCTTTATAGGTATTTCATTATTAGGGAATTTTGGGTTATTATGTTCAACTAATATAGACAATAGAGATTTAGTCTCATTATATTTAGATTCTAATTCCGAGTTACTCTTTTCTAAATGTTTGATTCTTTCATGTAATTCCTTAAGTTTAGATTTTGCAACAATTAAGGTTTTGTTTACCTCTTCATAATAAATTTCTGATTTATATTTGTACTCTTCGTGTTCTTGAATAGTTTTTCTTAGCTGATGATTTTCCTCTTGAAGCTGTTCAACCTGAATTGTATACTTTTCTTCAAGCAGTCTTTGGCTATTAATATTTGATTTACTGATCATGTAAATTTCATTTTTTAGTTTGTTAATCTCACCTCTATAATTATCACAATCCTGGCAATCCTTGGACATTTCTAAATTATCTATTTATATTTAATATTATATATAATATATAAAATATAATATATATTATGTTTTATTTGCTATACTTATAATATTTACTTTTATTATTCAAGGATATCTTGGCTTAATAGTTAAATTGTCAAATTTCTCCATTTCACTAAGTATTCTGGCTAGTAATGCCAAGTACTCAATGTATAAAATGAAAGATTTTGATTAAATCATAAAAATAGATTTTGGTCTTGGCTTTAAAAATGTCATTCACTTTTTTTTTGTCAGCCCCTCATTCCCGTCGCCCTTTAAATTGGCGCCAAATACCAGCATGCATTACGTGTAAAAAATGACCAAATAATAAAAATAAGAGAAAAAATTCGTTCAAAGTTGAGTTTAACTATAATAAATAAAATATTTACAAAGAAAAGAAAAAGTTATATTATCATAAGCTAGATAAATTGCTTCAAATTCATTAAGAATTACTATATTACTTACCAGTGGGATTAATGTTAAAATTAGGCTTTCCCTGATAAAGATTTACCTCATCCCTGCCATTCAAAAGTCTCAGGAGGAACCATCTCTTCAAATTTTCCATCATCATTGTCAAACATCTTCTCATCGTCATTCTTTTCCTTCTTCTCATTTGATTCCTCTCCCTCCTTTCCAGTTTCTTTATTCTCTTCAAAAGTAGAAATAGTATCTTTGTTGGAATCTTGGCCAACAGTAAAAAGATACTCTTCCTGTTCTGATGGTTTATTATCCTTAAGTAAAATAAAGCCGGACTTTTGTAAAGGAAGGACTGGTAGATATCTTGAATCTGGAATATATTCCAAAAATTGCTCTTGAGATTTCAAAATTCTAAACGGATTGTTCAAAACAAAAGAGTTTGATTTCTTATCATTGCCCTTACTGTTTTCTGAGTCACCACCTTCCACGATCATCTCTACCTCTTCTTTCTCTGTCTTCTCCTCAATATTCATCTTAGTATCAACTTCATCTTCCAAAGTCTTACTGAGTTCAGTTTTAATCCTTTCTTCGTCATTCACCTGTTTTGAAGCAGATAATGGAGAAGATGAATCATTAATTTCCTTGGCGCCATTTCCTGTATCACCAACAATACTCTTTTGTTTTTTAGACTTCTTCTTAGAAGCTGTAGAAAGCACAGCAGTTACAACAACTTTCTTGTCCTCATTCTTGTCTAGAGAAAAAGATTTCGGATAATCAAATTTTTCTTTGGCAGAGTTGCACTGCATACTAAAGCTCTTTGGAACTCTGAGCTGATCATCTAACCCCACAATGTAAGTTGGAATGTACGACAAAGAAATACAATGTACTAAAGGAAACCAAAACCAAAATTGGAAAAACAAAGAAAATCCTGCTACTGATTGAGCACGTAAACTCTCTTCGTTTCTCGAAAATAAAGAAGCCTTAACATTTCTTCCTCCTGCATCCATTAAACCCAAACCCAAAATGGCGCCAAACCTGGTGGCAATGTGTTCATGTTTGTCTGTTGCTGTCTTAATCATTTGTTGACGTATACATGTAAATTTATCATTAGAAGACTCATTTTGTTGCATTAAGAGAAGTCCAAGGCCAATATAGGCGGCTTGCCTGACAATATCAGTAGAGTCTGTTGTCATTGATTGGAGGATTGCTGTAATTTTCGGGGATTCCATACCACAACAAGTAATACCTAAAGTTAGGGCGGCAGCATACCTTACATGTGGATTATAACTATCGCATAAAAGAGAAAAGACTTGTGGAATTTGTTGTGTATTTCTGCACATAACCAGTCCTAATGCAAAGACTGCAGCTCTTTTATTGTCATCTGAAAGTTCTGAAACACTTGCATGCAGTAGTTTTTCCATGGCAAATTCATTCCCAGTTCCACAGTAAGCAAGTCCAAGAACGTGCATTGCTCCGTATCTAATAAAATGTTCACTATCTGAGTTAAGCTGTTGGAAAAGCTCATTTGCTTCTTCTCCACTCTGAGAAAACATTACGAACCCCAAAGCAACTGAACAAGCTCTAACGATTTTCTCATGTTGAGTATCTTTTGCATATGAAAGTAAATCTCCTATCGCTTTTTTTGACCCAGATCCAAACATTACAAGCCCAAGTCCATATGCTGCAGCTTCTCCAGCTACAGCATTATCCATATATAATACATTACGTAACTCATCATAAAGTTCTGTGTCACATGACCCAAAACCCATTATTCCTAATCCCAAACTCGCACCATGTTGTAAGACTTCATTTCTTTGGGGATTTCTTAATTTTTCTAAAAGGTACTCTTTTGCCTTAGGGTCCATGTAACTTGCATTAATTAGTCCAAGAGCAAAAAATGACCCACCTTCACTATACTGTCCTCCTAAAGCATTTCCTCCACTATTAGAATTAGTGCTGTTATTATTACTACTAGTGTTATTATTATTTCCACCATTAGGTAAGCAAGTAGAAAGAACTTTAAATGCTTCTTTAATGTGTCCCATGTGAATAATACCTAAGGAGGAAGCTGTTGAGAATCTTGACCAATGAGTAGCTCTTCCAAGCCATTCTAAATTATTTCTAAGAAACACATCACAAGTAGTACCAGCTTGCATTAATCCATGAGACATTACAATAGCAGTATGTGAGATTGCTGATCTCTGATCACAATTATTTTTAATGTGTTCCAATACACCAAGATCAGGTTGATTATTCAAATAAAGGAATTGTAGATTTAATTCTGAAACTGCTTCTCCTGTAAGAATACTTCTTATTTTGTTCAGTCTATCATTACTAATACTTTGGCCTTGGTTTTCAGATTTGCTATCCTTACATTCTTCTACTTCAGTTTTAGTTGAAACTCCAAGTAAATGAAAATCGATTTTACTGATAATATTATTCATTAAAGTGACATTTTCGTAGTCTTTTATTATAAAGGCAATTGAGTATGCTTTGGAAAAGTTGGTTAAATCATTAGATAGATTCATTAAAATGGTAAAGAGCTTTTCACTATCTCCAATTACACAAAGACATTCACAGTATGTTTTTAAACTTGGATTATCTTCAATATATGTTACTTTCTCTTCAATCAGCTTAATAAGTATTTTATAACTTTTAAAACGAAACTGATTTGAATCTAAGTGGCGAATCAAATTAAAACATTGATCACAAAATTGAGCTAAGTTATCATTATGGATACCTTCTAATGTTTGTTTCAATATCTTAACCAATAAATCACTTCTTCTAGCCTCAAGTGCAATTCCCATTGCATTTAAGAATCTTCCATTAGAGTTACTTCTTGAAATTAGATCAGATACTATCTCTTCTAATCTAGAATCTAATCCATTAACAGTAATAACAGTGGCATTTTTTAAGTAATGATCAATATCTATATCAGAATCAGAATGATCATTATTAGTATTGTTGTAATGAGCTTTACATACTTTAATAAACTCATCAATACATTTTACCACCATAGACTCTGAAAAGGAACTGCTATCTAATGGATCAAATAATCTGTAACTACTTAATAAATATTTCAAAGCTTCGTCATAATCTTCCATATGAAAGTATATCTTAGAAGCCAAAAGTGCCGCTTGCTCTCTACTTGGAAACATTTCATCCTCAAAACAGTTTTCTATTGAGGCTAAATACTCAGCCATCTCGAACCAGTGGCCATCTACTACTGTATTTAGTTCTCTTAATGCATATTCTCTCAATTCAATGGAATCTTCATCAAGTAGTAATGCATAACCTGAAACAGAGGTAAGTTTTCCTACTCCGTTTGATAAGACTGAGTCAGTCATTACTTGTGTCATGATTACTTATTTTTCAAAGTTTGATTAATACTTTAAATCTTACTTATTTGTTATTTATGTTTTTAACCTCAACTCTCTTTAACACATACAGCAGGTATACTAAACAAACCACTTAGCTGGTGTGTGTAATTTTAGTTTTTAATGTGTTACTTACTGATTAATTTGTTAGTTGTTAGAAATTAAACTAAAAAGGTTTACTTGAATTTGAGTGACTTGTTTTTACTTTTAATATAATATTATATTGTATGTATATAAATACCTTATCCTTATTTATACTATATTAATATAATAACTATATAAACATGAATACAAATACACAGTCTCAGTATGCCAAATATTTCAACCTTCTCATCACAATCCAATTAGAATAAGATCTACTTGTTTTTTTTTTTCTTATCCTATGTTATCTTTTTTCTCTTATTCTATCTAACTTTTTTCCCCACTTTATTTTTCTGTATGTATTATTAAAGTGTTTGTTTAATACGGGAGTTAGTTTCACTGCAAAAATAAACCCTTTGGTTTTTTTAATTTATACTTTTGTTCTCGAATTTATCTATTTCCCTTATTTTAATACTCACTTTTTACACCATGAGCTCTTTTACATAAATATATTTACATTATATTAATTTATATATTTGGTATACCCCTCTTTTTTGGCGCCAAACTGGCGGGAACAATTTACACATTAATTTAAGTATGTATTATTTAAAAGAATAACAAAAATAAAACAACAAGAAATAAAAAAAAAATAATAGATGACACAAAAACTATTAAAATAGAGGAAAAAAATGATAAATAAGTTAATTATTGTCAAATAAAATAGGTGAAAAAAAGAGAATTTTTGAATAGTTTTTAAGTTTGGAAGCTTACTATATATATTAAAAATATGATGGCTCTATTTCATACATAAATATTAAGAATAACAAAAATAGTCTAAAAAACTAGTTTTTCTTACTTCTCTTAGTTATTCCTTTTTCTCCTTTTTAATTTGCATATCTTTCCTTCATCTCAAATGTATTTTCATAATCTATAATTAATATTAAATAAAAAAGCATGTTGGCGCCAAGTGTGAATAATAATAAGTGGATGAAAAAAAAATTGAAAAATTAAGGGGAAAAAAATGCAGACAAATTATTAATATATATACATATACATATATATATATATATATATCTTCATTTCAAATACATATAAACATCAATTTATAAAATAAATACATACATTGTCAAAGAGAAAGTTGTTCATTTTTTTCATGATTAATTGTTTTTCTAACATACAATATTATACAATAAAATAATTTGTCAAGTATAAAAAAAAAAAGTAAACAAATAAATATATCCATAAATAAATGTTATCTTTCAATTAAGAAATTAAGTTTAATAGCTGCTAAAAATTTATAAGAGATTTATTTGTTTTTTCTGCCAACAAAAAGTCAAATTTGACAAAAACTTTAGTAAATAACAATTAATGAGAGAAATCTAACAGAAATGAGTCAAACTATATACAAAACTGACACAAATACATTAACTATTTTAAAAGTGGAGAATAAATGTAATATTCAACAAAACACAGAAAATGAAAGTAGACACATAAGTGAAAATTTGTTAGATAGAAAGGAATTAAGTGCAACTGAATATAATGAAGAAATTAATAAAGATTATAATATTAATCAGAATATTGACAAGACACACCGTAAATCTACAAATAATGTAACATGGGATGAGTCTGCTATAGATAACGAGATGATGAATAAAAAAAAGTCAAAAAAGTGTTGCATTTTTCACAAGAAGAGGAATTTTGGTGAATCTTCCAGTAGTGATAGTGATACTGATAGTGATAGTGACGATAATGGAGATGATCAAGATACCTACAACTGCAAAAATAAAAGAAATCAATGTAGTTGTGATACTTAATAAGTATAAAATATAAGATTTAATTAGATACAAGGCTAAAAATTGCTCTTTTTTTCTATTTTATTCCCTTCTTGCTAAAATATTAATTAATTATATTGTTCGGTTAATTAAAATTTAGTTAATCAGCTATTTTGAATAAATACTTTGGTATTTATTACAGGTATAGTTCTTAAGAAAATCTCTTAATATAAAAGAAAATTGCTTACAAGCAGAAAATGCCTCAGTCATTAATGATTCAATTACTTCAGTTTTAAGTTTTGTATTTAAATCAATAGTAACAGGAGATACCTCATTATCAGTACTATTTATAGCCATTAGCAAAGTACCTTTCAAACTTTCCATCTCAGATTGAGTTAAATCATAAAGAATTTGTTCTCCATACAATCCACAAGTAGCAGAAACTATTAAATCTTTCATGGAAATACCAGAAATAGCTAATGCAATTGATGTAGCATTAATAGCAGCAGATCTTATACTTCCATCCCCTTCCAATATCATAATATTTATAATAATTTGAGATTTTGAGTATTGATCACAAATTACAGAAGAAAAAGTTCTTGAAATTATTAATCCACTTTCTATACAAAATCGATCATTTTTTCCTCTCTTCCTTCTATCCTGACTACTAAATGGTGACACTCTAAAATTACAATTAATTTGAACTCCTGAATTACTATTTAAATTATTTATATTACCTGAAATAGGTATTGGACCTATAATAGATACTATCAATTTATTTTGCCCTTGCTCAAAATAAACATTCCCATCTACTCCTCTTTGAGTGCCTTCATTCACAATACATTTTATTCGTCTTATTTCTGTTAATTTTCTCCCATCTTGACGGATTCCATGCTTATTAACTATCTCATTCATTTCTCTCTATTTATTTTCCTATTCTTCATCAAATTCAATCTATATCCACCTTTTTCAATATTTCTTTCTACTCTTCAAAAAAAAAATTATCTTCATTTAAATTTTTTCTACTTTAGTTTTGCTATATTTATTTAAATATATAGTACCCGGTACCTTTTTTTTTACCCCCTCCCGGTACTATCTAAAATATTTTTTTACACAAACCTTATTTTTTGCATGATTTAGTCCATCATTTTCTAATTCATTATTTTTTTTGAAATTAATTGATTTTTTAATCAAGATATTTATTCTATTTTATTTACATATATATATTTATATTTATATGTAATAATGCAAATATTTATATATACCCAACTTAAAAAAGAAAAGATACCTCTTCAATATTACTCATTATTTTTAAAAACTTAATTAATCATTGTAATCATCCAATTATTTATTTAATAATAAAACATTATTCAGAATTCTACATCAAAGATATGAAATTTTTTAATTCTATTACATTATTCTTGCCAATATAATTTTGGAAAAAAAAAGAATAATGTTAGATATTCAAAAGTATAAAATATCCAGAGAAATGGATAATTTATATACAGATATTATTGAAGATTTTATTAATAAATATGATCATAAAATGGTACCTAGAATTGTTTCATTAATTGATATGGATGCTTTTTTTGCTCAAGTATATCATGTTGAATACAATATACCCAGAGATAAACCATTAGCTGTAATACATAATCATACAGTATTAGCAGTTAATTATCCATCCAGAGAAAAAGGAGTTAGTCGAAAAATGACTAAAGAAGAAATTTTATCAGTATGTCCTGAAATTATTATACCCCAAAATGCATTTTTGGATGTAAGAGGACAATATTTACAATTATTTGACGATGATTTAAACCAGTCTAATCAACACCACATAAAAAATCAAATTACTTACCAGAAATTATCATTAGATATATTTAGAAAGGCTTCCAGAATGATTTTTTCTAAATTAAAAAGTTATTTACCAACTTGTAATGCTCAAATTGCTTCAATTGATGAAATATTTTTTGATTTAACTGATATTATTAGAAAGATTTTTGATACAATTAAAGCTTATATATCTAATCATGATTATCATAATTTTACTTATTTTGATCAACTCAAATCTGAAATTTGTATTAATGAAATTAATACAAATTTATTATTAAATGATCATATTCATTTTGATAACTTTATTAAAGTCTTATTTCCTGAATTATTTGATGAACAAGTTCTATCTAATATATTAAACATTTTATATCCAGAAAATGATCATGAAATTAATAATTATAATGATATATCTAAATCCTATTCTATTTATTGTTATAAATTACCTATCAAAAATTTAACTTTCCAAGAAATGTGTCTAATACTTGCATCAATTCTTATATATAGAGCAAGAAAAAGATTAAAAGAAGAAACTACTTACACATGTAGTTCTGGTATTTTTTTAAATAAGATTTATTCTAAAATGGTCTCCTCATTAAAAAAACCTAATGGTCAAACTGTATTATTACATAGATGGTTTGAACCTTATATAAAAGATACTTATATACTTAAATTAAGATTTTTAGGTGGAAAATTAGGTAAATCTCTTATAGAAAAATTCCCAGAAATTAAAACTATTAAAGATTTACAAAAACTTACTCTTAAACAACTTATTCATCATTTTGGTGAAAGAAATGGATTATATTTATTTAATTCATCAAGAGGTATAGATGATGATCCTGTTGGTAATAATTTTGAAACTAGTAATAGTTTACAATCTTCCAAAATATTTCGAATACCTTTAAATAATTATAATCAAATAGAAAATTGGCTCAAAATTTTTTCTTGTGAAATATTTTATAGAAATCAAAGTAATTATCAGATTTCTAAAAGGAAGCCTACAAAGATTACTGTTAAAATAAAAATAAAAAATAATATAGTAAAAACTCGCACTGGAGATTTAATATATAATTCTGATATACCTAATAAAAATAATATTTTTGAATCAGCTAAAAATATTATTTTAAATAAATTTGGTTTAAATATATTTCCATGCAAATTTTTAGGTATTTCTATAAGTGGTTATATAAAATGTAATAAAAATGATGATAATTTTAAAATAGAATTTAAAACTTGCAATATTAATCAATTAAGTAATAATAAATCAATTATATTAAAAAATTCGAATTTTTCAAATATAGAAAATGAATACTTAAAGTTTGATAATGTTTTAATGGATGCAATAAATAATGAGATTTTTAAAGACAATGAAAATGAAAATATCTCATCTATACCCATAAAAGATGATTCAATAATAGAATCAAAATATATTTATAAAGATTGGCCATTTGTAATTGGGAAAGATTCTAATAAAAGAAAAGGTAAGAAAAATAGTTCAAGTAATAATCAGGTAAATATTCAATTAAGTTCCAGATCACCATGTAGATCAGTTAGATTAGTAAATAAGAAGAATGTAATTTCAAAGTTAACTCAGTATAAACAAACAAAGTTAAAATTTACATTACCTTAGATATAAATTTTGTCTTAAATACTTAATTTTTGACTATTAAGAACAAATTTAGAATATAAGATTTTTATTTAGTAAAAGAAAGGGTATCTATGATATTTTCTTTAAATAATTTAAGAATTCTGCTTCTTTTAAATAAGTATTTATAAGTTTAAAGAATCGAAAATTAGAAATAATATGTTTATCAAGACTAGTTTTCCTATTAGTAATTATAAGCTACCATATTCAGAAATAAATAAGGACCCGTCTAGTAGTGGATTGTTTGTCTTAAAGATGAACAGGAATTTTGAAAAGAGAATTAGCATAGAATCTTAAAGAAGAGTCCACAAAGATGTGATATAAGTCCATATCGATAAAAATGCCAATGATGATGACAAAAATAATGGTTAATAAATCCACTTGTTTCCATAACCTAGTTAGAGAATAACAATAGTAATAATAATAATAATAATAATAATAATAATAATAATAATAATAATAATAATAATAGTAATAATAATAATGGCAAATCCTGGTAGTCTTTATATATCTCAGAATTACCTTTTCTCTTTTACTAGATATATCATCATCATTAATCATCGTCATCATCATTAGTTACCATTCTTTTCTATATATAATATATATCACATGAATGTATATCTCTTTCTATATTTTTGATTCATTATATAAATTCCAATTCTTTAAAACAAACGAAATTGTTTACGAGCAGTACCAAAAATTTGGTTCTTCTCAACTTTCAAGACATTAAATCTTACAGTCTTTGATAATGGACGGCATTGACCCATTGTAATAATGTCTCCTTCCTTAACATCAAAACATGGTGAGCAGTGAACTGATACATTCTTGTGTCTCTTCTCAAATCTGTTGTACTTAGCAACATACTTAAGATAGTTTCTTCTTACAACAATAGTTCTCTTCATTTTCGTTGATATACACATACCTTTTAATATACGTCCTCTAATACTTACATTTCCTGTAAATGGACATTTTTTATCGATGTAAATACCATTCTTTGCCTCATTTGGTACTGAAAAACCTAAGCCTGGATCTCTAATGTATCTTGGAATCTTTGAAATTCCCTTCTTTGATAATAATCTCTTATCACCTAAGAAGACAGTTTCTTGCTTTTGGAAAGCTCTCTCAGTCTGAGCATCAATTGCTGTTGCTTGGTGAACTTTTGATGACATTTTGAATTAAAAGTACTAATGAGTTTTTAAAATGTTTTTTTTTTTATGGGGAAAAAATAATTTGAAAAGAACTTGTCTTGTTCTACTTTAAAGATGATAATATGATTTAAATAATATTGTTAGTTAATGAAATTAATATTTAATATTTGTTGATATTAAAATAATTTAATTGCTAATAAATAATTAGTATTTTGTTATTGATTATAATAGTGAATGTCTGGCCCCGCCACTTTTTTAATTGACAAAAATAAAGAATAATATTATTTACAGAGACGGGATAATTGAAATATAGTATATTTATTTAATTATGAATTGAAATATATTTTAAATTAATAAATTAAATATGTAAATTAATTTCTGTCTCATTTTACATTTATTAATGTTTATTTTAGTTAACAGTAGTAATGAAAAATAATGAATTTATATGAGACATTAGGCGGGAAAGTCAGTTTTAACAATGAAGTAATAATTTGTGTAATAAAAAATAATAATAAAAAAAAAAAATGTGTAAAGTTTCAATGTGAAATAGACATATATTATTTATTTAATTAAGGAATTAGAAAAGTAAGAATGGTAAAAATGACATATTTTGGAGTTTCTAACCGCACTAAATTAAGTTTTTTTCCTGGCTTGTAATACTAGAAAGCTTTAAAATTAGAACAAGTTATTTTGCAATGATTGAGTAATTAAAGTATAGTGGGTTTTTTTTTTTGTTATGATTATTAGTGGGCACTAGTAATATTAGTACTAGTAATCATTAACTGCAGTTGTTTTTACTATTATTAATGTAATGTACAAAAATGACTAGCCGATTTTAATTACAAATACTTGTTTTATTGTTATTTATATACCTTTGTAGTTTTTGTTGTATATACATAGTATGAGCATGGGCATTGTGAGGACCAAATTGTCATATTCTCCACTAAAGAGTTCCAAAAGAGTTATTAAAATGGACATTTGAAGTCTTAGTAAATAATTAGTACCTAAAACGAAAGTTGTCAGGAATGACGTTATGAATATTGCTAATGAACCATAGATCTGTGAAAAAGAGACAGATTTTGTTTGAATATTTTAAAAATGATTTTTAGTAATTTTACATTAGTTAAAGTTATTTAGCTTAAAAGTAAAAAGAAGTGATTGAGGTAAACATACTGTTTTTGATTTATATAACTTTGGTTGGGGAATCATATTTCCAACTATTGCTCCAATTGGGTCTGCATATATTGTTGGTGCAAAGTAACTAAAATCTAAATTTAAAGTTGACCAAACACAAACAAGTAAACCAAAAAACAAAATACCTTTGTCTTTTGGTCTAGCAAACTTTAATTTCAGTAAATCTGGAAATAACCAAACTAGAGCCATCATTAAAATAGCTATTGTGATTTTTAACATACGGTACTCATATGTGTTTGGTGTTAATATAGCATATGTCCCTGCAAACATATGAACCAGTTTCCTACCAATTAAATTAGATTATTTTGAATAATATAGTTGGTGAAATTTCTTTTTTTTTATTATTATTATTATTAAAAAAAAAGAATGAGAAGAAAACATGTCATGGATAATAATCATATATATTATAAATGTGGAGATAAAAATAAAAATCAATAAGGAAGATTTTAAATGAATATGTGGTGAAAAGGATGAAGTTTTTTAATCTGAATGGAGGGAAAAAATGTTTATAAATAATATGGAAATATATATTAATTCCACAATTAATACCAATACCGGTTTCTTTTTGTCATTATTTAATAATAATTACCGACTCAAAATAACGGTATATAAATAAGTAAAATGTCATCTTAATTTTCATCCATCTACTTTTATTCACTCACTTCCATTACTGATTAAAATCTCATATTTTAAACATGATTATCATTGTACATATTTTCTCCATGTTGAAGCAATTTACCTTGTATGCATTATAGAAAAGTAATTAGTATACTGCAGAAATAGTATTACAGAGATAAAGAAAAGTACAAGTATATAAAACTCTGGATACATTTTTTCTTAGTAAAAATATATATTCGAAATTCATTAAAATAATTAATACCAATACTTTTCTTATTTCATCCCCACCTTAACCTTAGTTATTTAATTTTTATGCAGTTTATAATATAAAATTTAATATTAATATTATAGAGGTTGGCGCGTAAATAATTTCTAATTATAAATAAATTTTTATTACGTGTAAATATTAAGTCAAATATTACATAAAGGAATTTAATGCAATAAATTCTTCCATTTTTCCTTATAATTAAACACATATACTTATAGGTATATCTACTAATATTTATTTAAATATTTGAGTACTTCAATTAGTAGAAAGTCTTATTATAAAATTGGAATTGTTTTTTTTAATAAGTTAAAACATTAAATCAAATAAAGAGAGTAATACTTTATTTTTGATAAAAATTATAAACATGGGAGAGAATATAAATAGAGCTCAAGTTTTGTGGTTAATTAGGAATTATTTGTTTGGTTTAGAAGCAAACAAAGCAGTCAAATACATTGATAAATATTTTCCAGAAATAAATAATTTAGACAAAAAAAGCACTAAAAAACTTAAAAAGTTACCTGATTTACATGAAATTTTGAGACAGTTTTATAAATTTAATGAGGAAAAGATAGTTGAAAAAAAAAATACTTTGAATGATTTACAATTGAATCAATCTAAAGAGCAAATCACTATTGAATCATCTATTCAGGGTAATTTAAATATAAACAATAGTGCTACTCAAGTTAATACTAATAAGAAAAGCAAAAAAAGAAAATCTTCAGAAATAGTACAGAAAAAAAGTATAAGTGAAGAAACAAACCCTACTACTGAAGATGAAATAGGGAATAATGAAAATCAATTATCCACCTTTAATCCAGATTATTCAACTTGTGCATCTATTCAAAATAGATTCAAAAGAATTGATGAGAACAAGTACAAAGACAAACTTTCAGACGAAAGATTGAATGACAATTCATATTGGAACATGAAGAAGTACAGCAATAATTCTGACGACTTTGCCTCGAAAGCTGCGTTTGAACTTGGACAAGTAAGAGGAAAAGGATTCAGACAAGAAAAAGCTAAGAAAAAAAGATGCTCATGGAAAGGAAATGGTACTATTTCTACTGGCGTTAGCTCAATTCAATTTAGTGATTCAGATTAGTTTAAATTTAATTGTTTTATATTTCAGCTGAACCCTTTTTTATTGTTATTTTAGTTTAAGTAAATACATTATTCTTTCATTTGAAATATTTAATTTTATTATTAGTTAGGCGGGTTTACTAACAACTAATTGCGATTTTGGCGGTAATATGATTATTTATTTATAACTGTTTTTTTACGATCTTTTTTTTTTTTTAATTTTTGCATTGCATTTTGAAATAATTTCCTATAACAAAGAAAAAATAAAAGACAAAATTTAAAGAAAGAAAAACATTTTCTGAACCCAATCCATGTGGTTTAGGTTTCTATTTACAATATAAAATTGGTTTCACTAATTTTCTTTAAGGAAACATTCCCACAATATTGTTTTTTATTTCAATATATTGAAAATAAATAAAATTAAGTGGAATAAGAAGGGACATAAAATAAAGAGTGCAGAAATTTAAAGAGGTTTAGTAGGTGATCACTCTATTCATCAAATTTGTAATATAAAATTAATAAAGGGGGGGGAAAAAAAGATTAGTAAAATAATAATCAACGATGAATAAGATGGAAATGACAGATCAAAGAGCTTCATTTTACTCCTCTAACAATGGAAGCAGAAACAGATACCTAAAATTTGATGATGAAAGATTTGGTAATAGAAATGTATCAGGAAATATTAATAATTCAGCTCAGGTAAGTTTTAATATATAATATTTTGTAAATTATTTATTCAAACATAAATTCGGTATTTTTAGTCTATTTTAGAGGAACAAAATGACCAATACATGATAGACTTGGAGGCAAAAGTTCAGGATTTGAAGTATATTAGTAATTCAATGAGACAACAAGTAAAAGAAAGTAATGATATACTTTCAAGCTTATCTGAAGAAATGGGTTCATTTGGAATTTTGCTAAAAGGTACAATTAATAAAATCAAAACAATCGGAGGAACAAGTAGCTGGAAACATATTTGGATTATGACATTTTTCATATTTCTTGTTTTCTTGTTTATGTATATTTTATTTAAAAGAAACTAGAGTTTTTTTCATTATATCATATTATAATCATTAAATTATTATAGAAAATTACAATAATTTTAAATTAAAATTAAAAAGTGACACTGATATACACTAAAACCCTTGTTTCACCTCATTTTTATTATTTATATGTTTATTATTTTATTATTTAAAAAACATGTTTTATTGTAAAAACAGTTCTTAAACGAAAAAAGGAGCCACCCGCTCCCGTAAGGGGGTGATCCGGGATTCGAACCCGGGACCTCTCGCACCCTAAGCGAGAATCATACCCCTAGACTAATCACCCAGCTTTAACTCTGTATGTTCATAAATAGGCAACATGTTAAAAATGAAAATAAGGTTTTTCTTTCAAATTAAGGAATCATTTACAACTTTTTCTTTGTAAAGTATGGATTTTTAATACAAGAAATAGATAAGTATTGAAAAGGCAACTAACTATTCTACTGAATATATATTTTTAATAAAGAGTAAGTAATTTTTGCTATAGAAAACGGTTTAGCAGTATAATAAGATTTCAAATAAACAATTAAAATTAATATATAATTAAAAAATAATAAAATATTACTAAAATTTAAAAACCAAATTTCTAAATATACATTTGACTAAACTTAATTCTCTTTCATTTAAACAATATAAATAATTATACAATTGAATTTTTTTTAACATATTTAGTTATATTAATAATCGTTGCTATTTCAAATAATTATTTGCAATATATTTCTCCCCACTATCTATTTACCCCCCATTTTTTGTTTATATGGAATGGTAATAAATACTATATGACTAAATTTATTTCTCACACGTACCGTACTGGGTGATTAGTCTAGGGGTATGATTCTCGCTTTGGGTGCGAGAGGTCCCGGGTTCAAATCCCGGATCACCCCCTTTTTTGCAAAGCGTTTTTCCAACAAGGGGTAGGTTGTTTTAATTATGAACAATTCAATCGAAAATATAACTCTATAAAATAAGGAAAGCAATAGATAGAAACTCGTACAATTGAATGTGGATGTATATATAATTAAATTAGGATATATATATATATATATATAGTCTATAATTATAACAATCTATTCTATAAGTACCATCTAAGTTTAGTGTTAAATCAAAATATTAGAATTAAATGTTTAAATACAACGTATGTCCTCTTCTCTTGAACATTAGAAATAGTAGAAATGGGTCAATATTACATGTCACAAGGTAAATATTCTGGTATTGATAAAAGTTGTTTAATACCTGATTTATAGTTAGAAAGCTCATAGGATAACATCTTCTGAGTCTTCTGCAGATATTTAAGTTGAATAGGATTAAGGTTTTTTATATACATGTTTTCTTGAGAATTATTAAGCATACTTGCATCATCTTTACAAATATTTTCAATATTTATACCTTGATTTATTCGATAATCGCCTATAATGGCATTCACTACTTGTTTATTATTGTGAGTAGATTCTCCCAGATTCACTCCATTAAAATCGGCAATATTGTTTTCAAGGTTTCCCAGGTTGCTGGAAGCCTTTTCAATACACATTCCTGATCCTGTTCCAACTCCCCCAACTTGTCCAATTTCCGACAGGTTAATTCCACTGAGTTTTGAAAGCTTTCTGTAGTGATTATACCTGTTGTAGTTATCATCATAGTTACCGTTATTAATTTTACTCAAAGAATTTTCATTGTAATTATCCTCTGAATTAATGTATATACGACGGATTTTACGTCCTCTCAATGGGCTCATCCTATAATATTAATTACTTTAGATACGTTGAAATATACTTCTTTTAAACTTAATTGCTAATACTTGAAAATTCAATACAATACCAAAATAAAAATGAATATATACTTTATATATTCATATGTATATCAATGTTTTATTATCACTAAAATGTTAAAAATAATCACTGTTAATTATTTTTCCTCAAATGCCTTGATCAGTATTATTTTAACTACATATATATATTAACGAAGGTGAATATATTTATGTATATTTGTTTTGTAACAATTTACACCCAAAATAATTACTTATAAATTTATTAATTAATATATAATTACATGAATTTAACCCCTTGATTAATAATAATAATAATAATATTATTATAATTATTATAATTATTATTATTGCTCTACTCGACTTTGATTTTTATACATAAATATCATTGATATCTTTGACAACCTAACCTTGTGAATTATACTGAAATTTTGTATAATATAAAACAGATTGCCTTAGTAATTATTTCTTAATTAACTTCTCCTCTTTATTTTATTGTTTTTTTTTCTTCCACCCACTGTAATAATAATTATTATTATTTATTAATTTTAATAAAACCAATTACTTTCCATTTACCCTGTCCCCCAATTAATTATGTACCAAAAGTCCCGCCTTGATTGGGCGGGTTTTGCCCATCCTCTTAATTATTTTATTTTTTCCTTATAAATATTTAATAATTGTGAGAACAAGTAAATAATATAGTTAATAATTACGACTAATAATTTAGTAATATATTGATAATGTAACTTTTGACATTTGTGACTAACTCTTAGGTTACCAATACTATTTTTTTCAAATATAATCTAGATTATATAAATTACTTGAAAATATTTCATATTGATAACAACTTATTTAAATAATTGTTTTAAACAAACACTTAGATAAATATATACTATATTTATTCCAGTCATTTAAGATTTCAAGGAAAAATAGAATTTATTGACTTTTCCCCCATTACCTGTTGAATCTGTCTTTAATTAGTTAAGATATTTGAATAAAAGACCCAAGGGTCATAAAAAGAAATATTTAATGACCAAATTAAATTATGATATAAAGTAATCGAAAGTAGATATAAAAAAGGGGAGTAGTGAAGATGTCGGAATCTGATCATGTATTTGATAAATTTGAATATGGCAAAATTATTACTTTTGAAGATAAACACATTCTTGAATATAAGGATGATGAAGATGACTGTGATCAACTTAATGTAAAAATTTATCCAAATAAGACAAATTTGGAGTCAGAAAATAAGGATAATTATGATTCGGGAAAAAATAAGAACCAAGATAAATTTAAATTTAAAAGAACAAAGATCGAGGTAATTAAAAAAAATTTAAGGAATGAAACAAACTATGAATCTATTTATAATGAAGAAAAGAGCAATGATAATCATTATAATGAGCTAACTAAATTCAATACAAATTTCCTAACAAATGATGACAGTATTTTTGATGATACTGATATATTTTATGATAGATTAAAGATTCAAAAGAAAAAAAAAACTTCACAGAACATTAAATTTGAATTTGAATCACCATCTCACTCTATTACTAGTCATTCTCATTTAAATAATGAAGAAAATCCTAGCCATAAATCCAACATATATTTGTCTTTGGAAACTGAATTTTGTAGAAAAATCGATAATAGCAATATTAATCATATAAAAAACGATCCAATAAATAGCAACATTATTACTAATATTAAAAATGAATCCACGTCTAGCGATTTTCAAGACAATATTGTTAATTCCTCAAATCGAAATAATCTATTGGAATCGCAAAATAACATTCTGAAACCAAGGAATTCTAAAGATAATACCAGTAATACGCTTGATGAAAGTTCAGCAACGTCTGAATTAAATAACGGAACTCAACAAAGTAATTTGAGTAATAGTATTCTTTACGAAGAGCCTCTTGACTTTGGAATTTCATCTGCATTGGCACTACTTAAAAAAAGAGGTGAAATATCATCTTCTAGCAAAAAAGGGTCAGCTATCTCCAATGGTAATGAAAAAACTAAAGAATATGAAGGCTCATCTGCTGAGTATGACACAAACTTGGAATCAAACAATCAAGTTTCCATTTTTCACACTGATAACAATGGAAACATTCTAAACCCTAAAGAAGCCTTTAAACAACTATGCTGGAAATTCCATGGTCAAAAAATTAACAGAAACAAAATAGAAAAAATGCTCAGAAAACATATACGCAACAAAACTTGACCTTAACTTTTTCTCATGCATTATTTTATTATTTTTAAATAATGACGTGGAATTCCCGCCATTTTTTTTTAATTATTAATAGTGAGACATTTAATCAATATTTAACATTTACACTAAGGTCTTGGGTTGACCAATTACAAGAAAATATCAAATAATTATTTAAAGCAATTAATATATAATTGAGCTATTATTTCTTATCTTTTACCAAGTCCAATGCTTATCAAACAATGATTAACTATCAAGTGGAATACAAAGATAAATCTTAATGAATATTTTTGTTCATATTTTCTATTACTTCAAATTTCAAATGGTAAGTTTAATTCAGTCTATGAATGAATAAAGGCTATTAGTTAAAATTGTGATTATGATGGTGATAACTCTTTTTGTAAATGGTTATTTTTATTTTACTTATAAATGAAAATTTATATGAGATTTTGTAATGATGGATACCCCTATAGCAGACGGGCGATCAGAAATATCTCAATCATCTTGTATTTGACTGAGAATTTGTTGAGATTTGCTATCCTGAACTTATCTTTTTTTATATACAGATTTTTGAACCTATTCAATGGAATCAATAATTGGTAATATGTTCAATAATAGTAATAATAATTCAATTAAAAGAATAGCTATGATGATAACTTTTAATCATTATTAAGCTTCTCTAACTGAGGAGACGTGATTATTTTTATCTTTCGCTCCTATCTGAGTCTATTTCATTTGTTTTAACTGATTATTGTTACTATTACTCATATTTATGGCATTATTTACTGTCCAAGTATCTTTTATATTTATGATGACTTTCCTTTTTAAACTAGAGTCTATTATGGTCACTGGCTTTAATATTAAAGTTAATACTATATGATTACAATGTTTCTCTTGGCTGTCTGAGATATATTTGATACTTGAAACAGAAAGCTGTGCTTCAAATTACTTAATGATTTTGGTTATTACAAAAATATCGATTTCTATTTTATATCATCATTATACTCAAATTACTAATACCTTTCATTTATTCAATTAAACATAAAATTATTGATTAATTATATTATTAGGCTTTTTTATACTTGCATCCAAAAAATATTAAAGACTTTTATAACTTTAAAATTAATGCTAAAGAAGAATCAACTATTCTTAATCTAGTTCTATTATACTATAATTAAAGCTAAGTAATATATATCATAATTACCTCTTCTTATTTCGCTTTTTGCTCATATGTTTCTTTTTCTTATTTATATGCTTTACAGCTCTCTTATCTTTCTTTAATCTTTTATCTACAAACTTAGTCTTTAGATTTGTAGAATTAATGTTCTTGTCTTTATTCTTGACTTGTTTACTTAATCCATGTCTTCGAGTTACAGTATATACGTTGACTCTCTTTTTACTGGAAACTTTCTGGGCTTTTTTAATTAAATTGTTAATAGTCTTAGATTTAGAAGCTTCATTCATTTCCTCTGAATCAGCAATAGATTGTGCCTTTTTTCTAGCTTTCTCCATAATCTTTTCATATCTCCTCTTCTTTCTAGCTAAAGCTTCACTTTCTTTTCTTATTGGTCTATTTTTAATTTCTCTTAGTTTTGCCTTATATTGAGCCATCAAATCTTTTGTTATAGGTAGTTCTGGTTTGTTATGTTTATTTTCATCTTCCACAAACCAAGAAGGTAATCCAAGAACATTGTTTTCAAGATCCTCAGCTGGATCATGAAAAGCATATCTGTTATAGCTACCATCAATTAAATCCATTCTTGTAGACTTATTTACTAATAATGACCCAATACCCTGAATCATCTTAAGTTCCTCCTCATTTTCAGGCTTCGTGAATCTTTCACTATCACTATCTTGGGTATCTTCATCATCAGAATCCACAGAGTCAAAATTCACTTCCTCTTCCATATCTTTTTGGTCCTGATCATATTCATCATTATTATTCTGATTAAAGCACTCCTCAATACCATCATTTATATTAATCGAGCCAGCAGACTTTGGGACAAATTCTATTTCGTTGTTCTTAGAGTTCTCCTTGTTTTTATCTTGTGATTTTTTGTTTTTAAGTTTTTTGAGTTTCTTTTCATTCATTGGAATCTGTGGGATTTCTGAATCGGAAAGCTCTCTAATTATAGTACCATCTTCTGTGTTTTGTGTTTTCTCCTCTCCTATAAAGTCGTTAAATACTGAATTTGAAAACCATCTATTACTTAATGTGTCTTTTTTAATATCATTTTTATAATCAAATAACTCCTGAGTTTCATCTTTCATAGATTTTAACTTGTTTGTTTCTGATACCTTGTTTTTCTTCTTATTATCATTATTATTGTCATCCTCAAAATCTGTATCATCATCACTGGAATATATCTGATCAAATGCTTTCTTTGCTAATACTCTTTGATTCTCCTCTTCAATTTTATTAGAAAATTGGTTCATCTCCTCTACCCAGTCAGAAATAACTTTCTCTCTTCTTGTTTCCTTCTTTTGTCCTAGTAGTCTGCTTTTTTGTCTTTCTAATTTGGAATCCCCTCCTTGCATTATTTTGTTCCTTTTTATGTAATCCTGTATATCCAAATCAATTCCCAAAAGATCTTTGTGATCCAGCTCCTCATCATTACTGTCATTACTCTCATCACTACTATTATCTCTAACCTTATTGCCACCATCTTGAATTTCTTGAGAAGATATTTTAAAGTCATCACCTAATAAGAAATTATCATTAAAATGGACTCCCTCTGGGAAATATCCATCTATTGATACATCCCTTTCCTCATTATCAAGGACTTTTGCAACCTCTTTTGTATATTTAAATAAATCCTGTTCATTACCCTCAACATCAAAACCTCCCTTTGATAGTGATGCTCTCCATTCTCTCTTTCTTTGTTGCAACCTCTTCTTCTTTTCTAATATCTTATTTCTTCTTCTTTGTTCCTTTAACATATCTAAAAGTTCCTGATCAATCTCTCCTTGGCAATTATCTTCTTCCTCACTTTCTTGGATAATATTATCGTTCTCATGATTGTCAGCATCCCCATTATCATCAAGTTCAGTCTCATCATCATCACTATCAGTTATATTATTCTCTTTCCCCTGAAGGGAGTCTTTTTTACTTTGGCTTGATTTAATATCTTTAAAGACTAAAAATCTCCACTTGAGAAGTTGCATAAGTTCCTTTTTTCCCAAAACCTTTAAGTCCTCACAAAGAAGTTTAATTTCATAGGTTGTCTTGGGATGATTAAGAACTAAATCAATAAATTCTCTTTCTAAAGTATTACTTTCATCAGCTTTCTTTGGATTCAAATTGATAGTATTACTTTTAAGTAAGACCAAAGCAGGGTTCTCGGCATGAAAGAAATCATAAGCACTAACTACTCTGAAATCATCCCCTTTTTCATAACCATCTCTATTTCTCTTACCAATTCCCTTGATTAACTCAGATAAACTAGATTTCATGTTTTTCCTTGTTTTTCTAGTAAGTAACTTATTTTCATGATCATCCATATTGTCACTATCACTATCACCATCACTATCATCTCCATAATGATCTTTATTTAGATTATTTCCGAATGAATCCAAATCAACACCTTCATTTTCCCCCTTATTACTTTGAAAAACATACTTTGGATCAAAAAAGCGAGAATCAATCTTCTTTGGAGCTTTATATCCCAAACAAACCAAAAAGATTTCTGCTGATACATTTCTTGATGACTGGGGCTTTGTAGCTTTTACAGTCTTAAAGAGCTGACTAAGTACCCAAAGTACTGAATTATAATCAGTTGAACGAAAAACTTTAGTCACAAAAATACCATTTGGCTTTAAAATCTCACAAGCTAATTTAGCTGAATGCAAAACCAGTTCATTCTGTATATATGCATCCTTGTCCCATGACGTACCTACATTTGGAGCACCATCATGGAGTACTACATCTACTGGTATTCCATTTAACTCATCAAATATTAACTTTTTGCATCTTTCTGTTGTTATATCACATTTAAAAGTAGTAACTCCTGGAATTCCTTTAATTGCAACTAAATCTACTCCAATAATTTTACTGGAAACTCCCATATTCCTCTTTGCCACTTGTAGCCATCCTCCTGGAGCTGCACATAAGTCTACTAATATTTCACAATTTTTAAAGATATTAAACTTTTGAGCAAGCTGAATCAGCTTGAAAGCAGATCTAGCTCTGTATCCCTGTTCCTTGGCTAAGTGGTAGTAGCGATCTAAACGGTCCTTACCTGTCTTTGCCCTTCTTCCCATTTTTTATTTATTTTAATTATTTATGTTTCAACGTGTTTGGCTCTGTCTTAATGTTAAGTTTGTTATTCTTATGAGAATCTTATTTATTAGTCTAAACTCCTTTGCTCTGGTTAATATAAATCACAAAAATTCTTTATTTTTTCCAAATTTTAGAAAGAACCTATTAATTTTTAATCCTCCCTTTAATCAAAAATTGACTACTTTCTACTGGTTATCTATTTTTCAGTCTGATTATTTGTTTCCCGCCCATTACTAAATATATAAATAAATTATATAAAAAAAAAGGAAACAATTACATGTTAATAATAATCGAATATTAAAAATTTTAAAACTTTTTAAAAATAGTTATTAAATAGTACAAGCTGATAATTTAGCTAATCTAGTAGTAGGGCTTTGTATAAGTAGAAATTTTCTGTTTTCACTTCTTAGCAATAGTCAGTTACAAGAATTGTTTTTCACAAATAGCCAATCTTAGATTAAGAAGATCAGATGAAAAAGTACAGCATTTGAAAAAAAAGATCGAAGTTAAGCAAAAAAAAAAAAATAAGGCAAATTTACAATTAAAAAAAATCTGCATATTTATATATTGAGCTAAAGTAGTAATTTTTCAAAATATTGTCAAAGTTTTAGTTTGAAATTAAAACCTTAAGTATAATATATTGGTGTAATAGTATAAAATGAGTAATTATGAATTGATATATTGTTTATATGGATGATAACAAATAACAATGTTTATTAAAATAAATACCATAACACTAGGCAAAAGTCACATATATTATCTATAATTTAAAAAAAAAAATAAGGTAATTTGTACTTGGAAAATGCAAGTGTTGTTATAGTTGGCTGAAGGTATAATTTACAATAAAAATAAGTAAATATTTACAATTAGATTGAATCGTACCAATTTTACGAAAAGTTGGGATTCTCTGGCATATCTAGACTATTACCATACTTAATAAATAAATAAATTAATGAAAAGTATGAGCCTACTCTTAACAGAGATTTGACTTTTGGGGATAATATTTCTGGCTCAGGTTTTTTCAAGGAGAAAAAATCAGAATAGTCCATTGTTAAGTAACTAGTTATATGTGGATTATTATTTTCTTAGTTAAATAAAAGTCGTGTAATTCTTTTTGACAAAAATTCTAATACTTTCATTTAATATTAATTACTAAAGATGGTTTTTTCCCATTGTTTTCATTCATCTTTAATAATTATTTACCCACCAAACTATTTATTATAGGGAAATTTCCCTCAGGCGCCACACAATCCCCGCGACAACGCACTGCGTCCACAAGCAGGTGGCGCCAATTTGTCTAATATTAAAATATAAATAAAAAAAATAAGCAAACTTATATTAAAGGAGAATGAGTAACCGGTTACCCAGTGTTTTGTAAGTAAAAAAAAAAGAAAATTTCATATGAAAATTAATGGAACAAGAGGAAGAGAGAATAAACCAATAATAATTTGAAATAATAATTTTTTGGGTAAAAAAATAAATTAATAAATTTGTTGAGTATTCTGAGATTTGGTGGATTAGAATCCAAAAAATTTGAAGTAATCAACAAGGTGTACTGTTAAGAGTATTCCCACAAGTAAATCTCTGTAATTATTAATGAAATAATTGGAAAATTGTTTTATTTCTTCAGAAAAAAAACTTTATTTTGAAGTGTCATATGATAAAGTGTGTTTATGCATTAATTTGACTCGTTTGTTAGGAATTATTAATAGTATACATATTATATATATACATATGTTTATGCATATATATATATATATATGTATATGCATATATAATTTTAAATTTTTACATAATTAATCTTTGGGTAGAATTAAAGTTATCACGGAGATATTATTAAGAAATAATTGAACCATATTTGGGATTAGTTTCAATTCTAAGTCAGAAATTCAGTACTTATTTAATTGAACATAAAGTTTAGAGTCAAGTTAGTATGATTCCTTCAGAGGATCATCACAATAATTCAATTAATACAGAATCTCTCCAAAATGGGGACCTGAGCCGAGCGAATTTATCAATACAAAATTTCCCCACAAACACCAACAAGCCAGAAACTGTCTCCGATTTAGGTGAGGAATATGTTTCAAACGGTGGAGAAAGCCTTAACAAGAAGCCCAGAGTTGAGAGCCAAACTGAAACAGGCTCAGACAATAAGACAACTTCTAATTATTTTAATTTAGGGCAGTCTAATAACTCACAGTGTACATCGGCAGTAGAAGTTTCAACAGGATCTACACCAGAAGCTTTAGAATCTACAAATCAAACAGATAAAATTAATGTAGAAATCTCATCATCTGCGGCAGTTTCTTCAAATTCTGGGGTGGGCTCAGCACCGGTTCAAGAAGCTCCCCCGGAACCCCCAAAGAAGAGAGGAAGGGGACGTCCGAGAATTAACAGAGAAGCTTTGGCAGCGGCAGCAGCTGCTGCAGCTGCTGCAAATAACACAGCAGGTGGAACAGTTCAAAACAACAATATAATTCAGAGAGAACCAAGCACTAGGAGAAAAGGAGCTGGTCTTGGAAGTTTGATAGCGGCGGAGGTAAGCTCCAGAAGATCTTTTGTAGACGAAGAGGATGAGGAAGATGATGAAGATTTTGAGGACGTAGATTTACGTGCAGAAGGAGAAAACACTGAAAATGATGAAGGCGAGGAATTACCCCAGCGATTTGTATTAACTCCGATTGTTGAGAAGTTCCTTAAAAGGCGTCCTCAGATGAGACATAAGGAAAAGGAGGAGGGCGGTGACCATGAAAAAGGAAGAGATGGTCATTCTACCGGAGATGCTGCAACAGGAGGAATTGAAGAGAGAGATTTGGCATCACCATCAGCTAAAAGGAGAATATTAAACACTAATACGAGTCAAAGACGCATTCCAAGAGGAAAAATTCCATATGAATACTTGGTAAAATACCATCATCAAAGTTATTCTCAATGTAAGTGGATAAGTGAGGATGATATAGATAACGATCCAGACCCGAAGGTTAGAATAAAATATCTTAGATATGTTCAAAGACTAGAACAGAGAGGTGTAGAGGGAATAGATGCTACCGCATATATTGAGGATGTACCCGAATTACAATATATAGATGGTGATATTGAACGGATTGTTGATTGTACTGATGTTTTTAGGTCTCTCTATCCAATGAAGGCAGCAGAGATTGGTAGGAATGAGTGGTATATTTACTGTTTAAAGATTATTGATGCTTTGGTATGTTTTGATAGAAAGGGAGTCAAATATGGAATTCCATTTTTACGTCCTGTTGATCCAAATATGGACGGAGCTTCTGACTATTATTCTGTGATTTCTCGTCCAATGGATTTCACCACAGTACAGACAAAGCTTTATTTACGTATATATTCTCAGCCTCAGGAATTTTGGAGTGATGTCCAGCAAATCTTTACAAATTGTTTCCACTATAACTCTGTAGATAGTGATATTTATGTCCAAGGGAAGTTGTTAAAAGCTCTTTTTGATAAGTTATATGGAGAATGGGCCCTACTTTCAAGACAAACACAGGAGGATCTTGTCAAGCAAAAGAGTGAAGAGTCTCCAAAGGAGTGGCTGGATGATCAGACAGTTACTATAGAGACAGCAATTCAACATGTTACTTTTAGAGATTTACTTGCCTTGCCAAAAAGACCTATTATGTATTTTGCAAAATGGAAGCATCTTTCATTTGCCGATAATACTTGGGAACATGAAGTCGACATTACTGATAGTAGTAAAATTCTTCAATTTCATCGTTTTGTTAGAGTCCCAGAATATATCACTACAGCTCATAATGGCCCAGCAGCCATAGCTTATGATCTTTACAAACGAATGATTTCTGAAACTTATACCTATATTAGACATACATTTTCTTGGATGAATAACCAGTTTGGAATGAAACTAATAGCTCCCCAGGCTCCTGCCTACATTACTCCAAACAGTGGAGGTGGAAACAATCAGGATTCTGATGACTCAGACGATGACAACCATGTCCCATATGCCACTAAAAAGAAGTCTAAGAATAGGTATTCTATTAGAACTTATGTTCCAACAACATTTTCTAATCTTCCACAGCTAACAAGTGCAATTTCTATTTATGGCCATCATCATAGCAATTACCAACCTTCACAACAAAATAGAAGTATCTATGGACAAAGGCAACAAAACTACGGAGGGCATCAGAATTTACAAAGACAATTCCCGAGCCAAAATTTGGGTAATTCTTCGTCTTCGTCTTCCAACATGGCTCAAATCAACAAGATTATTGACAGCAGCCTTTTAGATGAGATTAAGGTTGGTTCTGACGGGACTATGAATAAGAATGCCATAGCCGCAACTCAAAAGCTATTACAAATGATCACAGCAAACAATTCTAATGCAGCTAACGCTTTGAGCATGGCAATGAACAACCCAGCAGTAGCCGGACTCGTTGGAAAGCTCCTCCAAAATATCAATCAAAACAACTCACAAAACCAAGTTAAAAGTGATCCAGAGAGCTCTCAAACTTCACCTGCATCTGTTTCTGGTTGTAGCTCCTCAACACAAGTAATACCAAACAATTCTTCCATTCCTATCAACAACGCAATTTCTGTTCCTGGGAATGTTATTGGTACTGGTACTGTTACTAGTGCTAGTGCTAGTGCTAGTGCTAGTGCTATTGCTAGTAATAATGCTACATGCAATATTAGCAATAACAATGGTACACACTCTGGTATACCCTCTGACTCATCTAGTGGTTTCAATTGTAATAATATGGTGATTACACCCAACCAGGGAGTAGAAGCTAGAGGTAAACATATAGTTCCTGGAAATTATAACAGCGAAAGTAACATATCGATGCAAACTTTTTCCAAACACAACCATAATCAGTGGGGCGGTTCCAGTATTAATGATAGCAATTCAGTGAACAACAGCAATGGGATTATAACCAATCTATGCGAAAAGCCAAATAATAGTTTTACAGAACCCAAACCACGTGTTGAAATGAACAATTTTGACTACACAATCCCAATTGACCAAATTAGAAACAATAGCATTAGTAATCATCAAAGTAATCATGCAAGTTACGTGTCAAATACTTTAGGCGGCAACCCCACACAATCAGGTGCCTTAACACCTGACTGTGTAGAAGAAAATATTAATAGAGGAGAAGCATATATAATCCGAGATGACAGAATAGCAGGAAGTCCAGGTGTTGAAAATCCTGGAGTTGGAATAAGTGGAGAAGGAATGTTGAGCTTTGGACAGGGTGGAGCTATTGGACAGGGGAAAGGCATGATAATAGACCAAAAGGAGAATTATAACATAGTATCAAGTTCGATTGCAGACCATCACGATAACAATGGGTGTGACACCATGGCAAAAACAATTAACGAAACTGATTTGTTTTTCAATGTGAGTGGGGACAATCCTGATGCAATAAAGGGTTTGACATCTGCTGATGATTCAAATGCTTCTTTGTGTGATGGGGAAGTAAAGTTAAGTAAAAATAGTTTAGAACTAATGGTTTTCGGAAATGTCGAAATACCTTCTAGTATGGAACTTTATGAAAAATTGGAGTTAGAAAAGTTTTGTGGGATGGTGGCTCTGAGGAACGACTCACAAAACAAAGAGAATGAGGAAATTCTTTCATATAGAGTTCTGGATAACTTCCAGGATTTTTGCGATGGTATAGTTTGTAAGGAAGATATTGAGGTCACAACAAAAGATAATGGTACTAATGCTTGTATTCAAGCAAAAGCTGAAGGAATCTCTGTGTTGGGAGATATTTCCTCTAATAATAGTCAAGTAAAAGTTAAGATGGATGAAAGTGAAAAGAGTTTGAACAATATGACTGAGTTAAAAAATGATACAAACAGTGAGAATGTTGTAACTGAAAATACAAACAATCCAATGGGTCTTGCTAGCTTACTTGCAAATAATAAGATTGCAGATCTATACTGTAGCCAAAAGCGTCCTCCCCCACCTCCCCCAGGAGTTTCTCGTCATTACCCAGTTTCTCCAATTTTCAAAAATGGTTACCAGCTTTTTGATTACCAATTGGCAGGTCTAAACTGGCTGCTACAACTTTGGTCTGAAGGTAGAAATGGTATTTTAGCAGATGAAATGGGGTTAGGAAAGACAATGCAGACAATGTCATTTGTTTGGCATTTGGTTTATAAAGAGAAACTTAGAGGTCCCTTTTTAGTAGTTGCTCCACTTTCTACTTTGGATCATTGGAAAAGAACTTTTGAAGATTGGACTGACCTTAATGTAGTTTCTTATTATGATGAGGGTGGGAGAAATGGTCGAGACCTACTTCGTCATTATGAATTTTACCATCAATGCCTTCAATTTGACATGAGAGGAAGAGGGAGAAGTAGTAGCTATAATAGTTTTGGTGGTAATATGAAACATTATGGCTATACTAATGAACCTCGTCTAGTACAAACTCAGCATTATAAGTTCCATGTTTTGTTAACATCTTATGAAATTCTTCTTGCGGACGCTGATATTCTCTGTACGATGCCTTGGCAGTTTGTAATTATTGATGAAGCTCATAGACTCAAGAATAGAGGCGCCAAAACATTACAAGTTTTTAAGAGCATTGCATGCAGACACATACTTTTACTTTCTGGTACTCCCGTTCAAAACAATACAGAAGAACTTTGGCCTCTGCTGAATTATATTGAACCCATCAAATTTGCAAGTATTGAGGCTTTTACTCAAGAATTTGGAGAACTCCAGACTAGTAGTCAAGTCTCCGCTTTACATGAACTTTTACGCCCTCATCTTCTTAGAAGAGTCAAAGAAGATGTTATGAAGGAAATTCCTCCTCTAGAGGAGACCATTATTGATGTTGAACTTACAACTGCTCAGAAAGCTTATTACAGAGCAATTTTTGAGAGAAACCGTGCTTTCTTATGCAAAAATGTGGGTTTGAGCGGGAAAAAGTCGGGAAGTAATGCACCAATACCTTCATTAATGAATGTTGAAGTGGAATTAAGAAAATGCTGTAATCATCCCTTCCAGGTAGTTGGTGTAGAAGAGAGAGAGGTCGCTTTATGTAAGACTTCAGAAGAAAGATATAAGAAGATGATAGAATTAAGTGGGAAGATGGTATTAATGGGTAAATTATTACCAAAACTCAAAGCGGAAGGCCATAGAGTATTAATATTTAGCCAGTTTATTCAGACTTTGACTTTATTAGAGGAATTGGTGGAACATCATGGTTGGGGATATGAGAGACTTGACGGAAGTATTCGTGGTACTGATAGAACTGCTGCAATTTCAAGGTTTAATGCCGAAGATTCAGATAAATTTGTATTTTTACTTTCAACTAGAGCTGGAGGTTTAGGAATTAATTTAACATCTGCTGATACTGTAATTATTTTTGATTCTGATTGGAATCCACAGAATGATGTTCAGGCCTGTGCTAGAGCACATAGAATTGGCCAAACAAGAGATGTTAAAGTTTATAGGTTAATAACAGCAAGAACATATGAGGCTGAAATGTTTGAAAGAGCTAGTAGAAAATTGGGACTAAATACTGCAGTATTTCATAAGGGTGCATTCAGAGAGGAGAATAATTCTAGCTCTGGTAATGGAATTGGTACAAGTGGGGAACCAACAAAGCAAGAAATTGAGGATTTACTTAAACATGGAGCTTATTATCTTTTAGAAGGAAGTGAAGCTTCAAGGCAGTTCCAAGAAAGTGATATAGATGAAATTTTGAGTAAAAATTCTCGTTTAGTTAGATACCAATTAAGTGGTAAGAATTCATCATTTAGCAAGACAAGCTTTAGAAGTGATAATGCACTTCCTGATTTGGATGTGAATGACCCCGATTTTTGGAAGAAAGTACTAGGCGATAGTAGTGTATCATCATTCTTGGTCCAGTTACAAAGTGGTAGTGCTATTAGGGATGATGAAAGTAGGGAAAAGTTTATTCAAGACCTTGCAGATGCAGTCGACGGAGCTGCAGCTTTGGATAGTTTAGATCCATTAATTGAGGCTTTAGTCCAGGTTACAAACATGAGAGAGTTTTCTGAATTACAACGTCAAAAGGCTGAGGATTTGCTTGCTAATGTCCAGGACATTGTTAAAACTTTGCAACCAAATAATGAAAATGTTGATGAAAATGAGGAAGAAGATAACTTAGAGACTGATGGGAGAAGTAAATCTCGTAAAAAATCAAGAAGAACTACTAGAGCTAAGGAGTTTACAATTGATAATTATGTTCTTGATGAGTATATTGATGGAGATATGGGAGATTCTGTTGGTGGGTCAGGCAACCATATTGATGGAAGAGGTAGAAAACCAAAAGGAAAGAAAGGTGGAGGAAGGAAAGGTAATGCTTCAGCTTCTGGAAAGTATAACAATTTTGACGTTTCTGATGAAGATGATGATGATTTAAATGATGAGTCTTTTGAGCCTGTCAAGTCAACTAAGTCTAGAGAGAAGAAAGGCGGTGGAAGAGGAAGAGTTAATTCATCCAAAACTTCTGCAAATATTAAGGTAATAGGAACAGGAGGTAACAATAGTGGTGGTGAGCAAGATGCTGATCAGTCTTTGACAGAAGCATTAGCAGAGGGAGTAGCCATACAGTCAAATGGAACAAGACAATCAAGAAAGAGAAAGTCAACTAATTCCAATAATTCAAATAATGGAGATGAGATACATGAGGAGAAAGAGCAAACTTCAAACAATTCTCCTGCTAATAATACCGTAGCAAAGAGAAGAAATAGAAGAGATTCTGCTGCTGCCATGCTTGCCTTACTTACTGCAGAAATTGCAAAGGATGAAGATGATATTGACGATGATGAATTATAAAAAGGCTATTAACATTATATTACTGTTGGAAACGTATTTATCGTGATAATAACTGTTACTATTGTTGCTTTATTAGAATTTGGATTCTTTTCTATTTATTCATTTCTGTATATTTAAAGGATTATGAATAATGGAGGGTTAAAAGTGGTAAATTATTATTTTATTGGTTTTTAACATATTTTAATTTGAGTTAATTATAATTGTAAAGAAGAGAGTGTAGTAAAGTAAAACTTAAAGAGAATAAAATTACTTAATATTTAAGTCATCAAAATAATATTTCTCACTAATTAATAATCATTTTCTCAACTTGAAATACAGATTATTTTATTGAGTAAATAAGGAGATTCATTCTAATAAGAGGACTTATAACTGGATTGAATTTAATATTGAAGATTACGGCAGAGTTAGCCGAATAAACAATAAAAATGAATTATATTAACTTATTTATATTTGTTAATATAATTTTAAACAACTAAAATAATGGTCAAATATAAAATACAAACTTTTTAAATCAAAATAATTTCTAATGAATTATTCAAAATTAAAGGAAAAAAAATTTAATTAAGTTAAATTTAAGATTGGCATTAAGCTTAAACGATTATAAATTTAAAAGTACGATTCTAACTATTTATTTAAAACTTCTTTCTAAGAAAAATTAATTAATTAATTATTAAGTATGTTTTTGCTTATTTCTAAAAGTAATCTTTTCTCTTAGTTTGTTTAATTTGTACTTTTTTTTTGTTATGAATATCCTTTATTCCCTTTGATGCAGATGTTCAACTTAAATAAATTACTCAAATATATCGATAAAAATGACGTCATTTTTTTTACCCGCCATACATGTGGCGGGTTTTTAGTAGCAGATTAATATTAAAAAAACATGTAATATGTGGGGGGAAAAACAAGAAAATAAGAACAAAATAAAGCATATTTTGTGAATAAAAAGAGAAAGAAAAAACAAGGTTATAGGGAAATATAATTGGAAAAATAGATGTGTATTAGTAGATTATAAGTTTGCTATTTGCAAAGACTAAACAATAAAGAGAAATTAGTAAAAAAAAAAAATAAAAATCAGTAAGGACAAATTATTTGAAAAAGTTGGGAATAAAAGAAAAATTTTAATAAAATTTTGTTTTTTTCCACAGCTTTCTCTTAACATACGAAATAAAAGCAATCATCTTATTTTTTGATTAATAGAGTGTGGTATTGTACATTAAAGTTGAATACCTGAGAAATATACAAGGGAATAACTGATTATAAGAATATAATCAGAAACTCCCAAAAATTATAAAAAAGAGAAATTAATTATTGTACTAAAAATTAATTAATGAAATGGACCAAGAAAATACAAAAAGTTTGAATACAACAACAATCACACCTACTAGAAATGGTAATTTAACACTTAAAGATGCAAACTCGGAGACTCCAAACAAAAGTTCAACAAGAAGAAGTGTTGGCAGTGCAGGAGGTGGGAGTTCATCAGTTAGACGTAGTAGCCGATTATTAAAGAAAAATGATGGAAAATTGGGAGATAGTTTAACTCCACAACTGGGTGCACCAGGAGGGACTCCATATTTGTTAAGATCAAAATCAAGAGAAACATTATCATCAGCAGAGGTAAATTTGAGAAGGAATGCAATGCCAATGCCACCATTAAATTTGAAGCCAATGAATGATTTAGTAGGGAGTAGCGAGTTTTATCAGACAAATAGGGAAACAAGTAAGGAAAATAATAATTTAGTTGATGATTCATCTAATATATATTCAACACCCAGAAAGAAAATGAGAGGAATAGAAAATGCCCGTAATAATAATAATAATAATAATAATAGTACTGAATTTTATCTAGATAGAGATCCAGGTTCTGAGAGTCAGCAAAGAAGCTCATCGAGAAGAAAGGGAGGAAATATTAAAAATACACCTGTAAGTAAGAATAGAAGAAATGAGGAGGATTCTTTTATTAAAGATAGAAAGAGCATATTGAAACAGTATGATCCAGACAGTATGAATACAACAACTATGAATATAAAAACTCCAAAATCTCAAAAGAAGGTTCAGTTTGGTACAAAAAATTTGATAATAATAGATGAAAATAAGCAAGATATTAACATTGATAAGCTGATTACAGAAAGTGATAATTTTGAGAATATTAAAAATCAAGATAATAATTCTATGGAAGATTTAACAGGAAGTAGGATGAGTATATTAAGTGAGTTAGATGACGCTGGTACTGCTCAGATATATAATTTTCCATCATTAGAGGAATTAATAAATACAAAAAAAAATCAAGATAATTTAGTATCTGAAGCTTACATTAACAATAATGTAGATAATGAGATTTCTAATAAATTTGGAAGTATTCATAACAATAATAATTATCATAGAAATATTCAGACTGATAAAGTGAGTAATATTGATAGGAAATTTAACAATAATGAGTATTCTTTAGAAGATGAATTGGAATCTCAAGACGAAAGAATGATTGATCTTAAAGATAAAGAAAATCCCTATAATCAAAATATTAAGGAAAACCAGAATGTAGTTCAAGATGGAAACAATATGGAAAAGAATATAGAATTAACGGACCAGATTAATATTTCTGATTACTCAATTAATTACAGAGATTCGATTGCTCCAAATTTTCCTGGAGCATTTTTATCAGTGGTTATGAAGAATTTATCTTCTGTTAATTTCCCAGAAGAAACAAAGCCAGAATCGGAGCATGATATTAAGATTCCTAAATTAGAATTAAATGATGAAAGTCTTCAAGATCAAGTTTTCAATAAAGAATTGAATTCTTTAAAAGATTTTGTAAATGATGAGAATTTTTTGGATAAAGATGATCAAGTTGTTGGGAACCAAGAAAATGTAATTGAGGTTCAAAAACAGGGAAATTTAGAACGAGAAGGAGAACAAAAAGAAGAGAGAGAAGAAGAAAAAGAAAAAGAAAAAGAAGAGAAAGAAGAAGAAGAAAAAGAAAAAGAAGAGCAAAAAGAACAAGAACAAAAACAGGAACATGAACAGGAACAAAAACAGGAACAAGAACAAGAACAAGAACAAGAAGAAAAAGAAAAAGAACAAGAAAAAGAAGAACAAGAAGAAAAAGAAGAACAAGAAGAAAAAGAAGAACAAGAACAAGAACAAGAACAAGAACAAGAACAAGAAACTAAGGCACAAGCAAATCAAGAGGAAATACAAAGGAATGGACAGGAAAAAATTTCTCGAGAACTATTTATAAAAGAAAGTAATGAACTATCTGAATCAGATCTAATCACAGAAAAAGATTTTGTTCTAAATAAAAATCATCGTGAAAATCTAATTGATAAGAAAGAACAAAACATTGAAGAGAATTTGAATTATCAAAATTGTAATTATGAAACTCAACAAATTGTTTTAACAGAAACTTTAACAATTTTGAAAGATAGTAATAATAGATTATCTAATATATTAATTACTCCAAAAAGAAGTAATGGTAATATTTCATATATAAATAAGTTATCTCCATCATCTGATTCACTCTTAAAATCACTGAATAATACTAAATCAATTTTAAATATAACACCACAAGGTTATACATGGCAAGAATTTCAGTCAATTTTGGATTTGAACTATACAATGGAAAATTACTTTAGTATTTTGGACTTTGATGAAATTGAAAACAATAATATAATCAAAGATAGAAATATTGAAGAAGAAAGTATTGATAGTAAGTTATTATTAGTAAAATTACAAAATATTTTAAAAGAAGAAAATGATGAAGATTCTGAGAAAATTCAAGAGATTGCTATAAAGTATTCATCAGAAGTGATTAAATCTATAAGATATCAAATTTGGGATGAAATAGAAAAAAGTGTATTAGTTAAAGAATTTAATGGTGAAATATATCATGAAAGATATACTGAAAATCTATCAAAGTTCTCAACTAGTGAAATAGCAACAGTTATGGCAATAGTTGTGAATAAAAGTAGATATGGAAGCAAAAATGATGAGAGAATAAAAAATGAATTATTTGAAAGAATATCTAGATATTTTTTTGGAGAAGGTAATAATATTTTCTTTAAAAAAGCAATAATAGATTGGAAAGAAAAAGTAGTATTTCCATTGAAGAATTTACTTATTAATAAATATGATGAAATGATAAAGTCTTTTATGTTAAAACACGAACAGATAATGAATAATAAAAATAGGATTCAAAATTCAAATGTATTATTATCTACATTGGAATCATGTAAGATATCTGAAATGCACGTATATGAGACTTACTGGAATGCAATGAGGATTGTACATGATAATATTAATAATTATAAAGAAGAAATTGAAAGAGTTAAGAGTTATTTAAATATGATGAATGAAAAAAAGAAAAATATTTCCAGATTATTATTGAAAGAAGAAGAGTTATATAATAGTTTGATCATGGAATTAAATGATTGGAAAATGAAGAAAAATAGTTTAAGAAATCACTTGAATGATTTACGTATAAAAGAAGAATTTGCTGGATTTACATGGGATTTATTTACAATGAATAAATTTCAAACAATAATAGTATTAAATAATAATTGTCATAATCAAAGTAATATAGTTAAAGTAAGGGTGTCTATAGAATGGAATATGGATGATAATAATAAATTAAAAATGAATAAAGATGAGCTGATGGATAATCATCCACCTATTATTTTAAATATTGAATTATTAACAGATAATATGAATTTAGATGATTTAGAAGATACATCATTAAATAATAAAAAGTATAATGATTTACAATTACAATTAGCTTTGGTTAATAATCAAAGATTGGAAGATAAGATATATCAAGCATATATTGATGTAATTGAAAAAACATTAAATTTAAGATTGATGGAATTATATTTAAATTATAAGAAACAAAATAATATGAATAATAATATATTGATAGAATTAATAAGAGGTATATTCCAAAGTTGTATAGTATTATTATGGAGATTGGAATCAATAGTATTTGAGATATTAAATATAATTAAAGTTTTTAATTTGACAATTATTGATATAATTGATGAAAACAAATTGATTTTAAACATTCCAATATTAGTTGGAGTACATGGAAGAAATAATAATGAGATAGATAATCAAGGAATTAATATTATGAATGCTAATAATAATAATATTGAAAATCAGAATTCACATTTAAGTAATTATTTGATAACAAATTCTTCATCTTCTCCGTTATTAATACCAGGTAATTCCTTATCATCACCATCTCCAATTACTCCAAATTCCTTAACATCAAATACTCTCTCTCCTCATATATTAATGGCATCAAGACCAGTAATAAGCATCACATTTAATATAACAAATTCACTTTTTATATCTATAGGTACTTTAGTGAATTCAATTGAAGATATTTCAGTTTATAATATGAATGATGAGATAACTAAAGATATGATTCGTGTTTTTAAAGATCAAATAAATGTAATTGAAGGAAAAGATAATAATTCAAATAATATTATTAGTATAAGAAAGAACTCTGCAGTTTATGTTGGTTATAATTGTTTACTTTCAGTAATACAAAATACGATACAAGAAGGGGGACGTAATCAGTTAATATGGAAGAGACCTTTAGAGAAATTTGCTCCAAGATTACTGAATGCAGTCCAAATTAGCAAATTACATCAGAATTTTTGATAATAAGAATAATAATATAATAATAAAGATTTTATCTCTATTAAGAATTGTTATTACTAGTATCTGAATCAGATAGTGAAAATTGAATACTTGAATTTTCGTTATCATAATATTCATTAACATTTTGAATATAATTAAAATTGATTGTTTCTATGCTTTTGTTTTGTTTATATGAACTGTTAGAATAAAGAGCTTCTTCATTTAAATGGTTTAAATTGTTGGAATGTAAATGAATAGAAATGTTAGGAAAGATTTTGGATAAAATTTTTTGTTTAAAAAAATCAGTGATATTAAAACTGTTATTATAATGATAAAGTTCTTTTTCAATATTTTGAAAATTATTATGAAATATGTTAGTACTTTTCCTTTTACTAGCAATGAAAGGATGTTCAAGAAGTTTAGAGGAATCTGGTCTTTCATTAGGATTAATTATAAGCATATTATTAAGAAAATCAGAATAATTGTTTGAAAATGATTTAATTTTATTAATAATAGAATTATTTCGTTGAATTATTTGACCATAAGTTTGGTTTTGATTAATTTGTGTTTTATCAGAGGTGGGGCTAAGATTAGAGTGAATATATGATTCATTCTCTTGGGTTAATAATTTAATATATCTTTCTAAAGTCCCTTCTTTCTTTGATTTATTATCGAAATCAGTATAAGAGGATAAATTATCTGATGAAAGAAAAATTTCGTAAATATTGGGAATATGGCCTGTAGATAGCTCAAGTAAAGTTATACCAAGAGACCAAATATCAGTTAAATGGTTATAATCTTTGGATTGAATTAATTCAGGAGACATCCATTGTAAAGTGCCTGAAGAGATTTTAGGTGTATGATATAAAATAGAATCAAGAATTTGTGAAACACCAAAATCTAAGAGCTTAATTTGGCATGTATTATAATCAATCATAATGTTATTTGACTTAATATCTTTATGTATTCTTTTATATCTGTAATTATAATTATTTAATATACTTAAAACTTTAAGAATTTGTTCAGAAATAAAACATATAAGATTTTCGGAAAATGGTCCATATGATTTATAGATATCTCTTAATGTATACCCAGAAATATAATCAGTAACAAATGCAAGATAATGTGGGTTAATGTAGAATGATTCAATATAGTTAACAACATTTTTATGATTTTTCATAGTAATGAGGATGTTAATTTCATCATTAAGTTGATCAATGATATCAACAATTGTATTATGGTTTTCAGAATGATTATAATTATTGGTTTTCATTTGTTCAAAATTGATTATTTTAATAGCAACCAATTGATAATTTTGATTTGTTTGCTCTTTGGCTTTCATTTTTGCCAAGAATACAGTACCGTAATATCCATATCCAAGCAATTTAATGATATAATAAATGTAATCATGAGATTCAAATTTTTTCTTTTTATTGATTACATTAATTATTACATCACTAATGTGGCAGTTCTTAGTAATTAGACGATATTTTGTTGAAATATACTCTTTCTTGGTATTTTCAGTTTCTTTGTCTGAATCTGAATCTAAATAATATTGTTCTTCAGCTTCTCCGTTTGGTTCATATCCATATTCATATTCATTCTGTTGTTGATGCTCATTTCCATCAAAATCTTCTTCATTATTACTTTTGGGGGAGATGCTATTTGAGGGACTTATATTTTCAAAGGTTGGAATTCCTACAGAAGATTCCAATGGTGAAAGAAAATCTGTGTAGGAATCATCATCTGGCCTTTTATCCATTTCATTATGTTGAATACTTAATTCAGAAAACCTATTTGAAAGATAGTCATCAAATAACAATTTAATATCTGAATAAATTTCAAGATTATCTTCCATGATGATAATGTTTGAATGTAAGTATTCTTTCTTTTTGTATTAGTTAAGTATTTATTTTTAACTTAAGACTTGGCTTATATTTTATTTTAATTAATTTTTTTTTCCATTTATTTAAATTTTCTTGAACTTTAGTTTTTTTTTCAATTTTGCTTATTATGTTTGTTTTTTTCTTTCTAAAACGTCCAAATACTTATTCTTTTTCAGATTATTTATCAAAATTAACGAGAAAATACTCCTTTTTTAACTATATTTTTAAATATTTATTTGTAGAAAATTATAATGAAATATAAATAAAATATCTAACCAAGTTATAGAATGCCATAAAATAATTTAATATAGTATAAAAAATTATTAATGCAAATAATACACATTAATAATAAATAATTAATTTAATAAATTTAATATGATCGATTCCCTTATATATAAATTTAAAGAAAACTTTCCTGGCTCATAGCTTGAGTTTTATTTTGAATATAAAACGATATATACTTAAATAAAGATATTCAATATTTATGTTTTCTGTATTGTTATATCCATAAATATTAATTTGATTTGAAGCGATACTTCATAATATTATTCCCATATTATTCAATTTATCTTGATTTTTTTCTAAACAAATCTTGTTAATTCCTTCAAGAAAACTCGAATTAATGTTCTATCATAGAAATTTTCTGTGGAAATTATTTCATTTATTTATATATATAATGCAAATATTAAATTTGTAGTTATTATTTCATTAATAATATCAATTTTTTTGTATTTTATCACTAAAAAAAATATATTTCTTTAATGTGCCAAATTATTATTAATATGGAAAATTAAGTTACGTGTTGAGAAATAATTTTCAATACCGGCACATCCACATGCAATTGAGTGAGAAAAAAATAAAATAAAATATATTGAAAAAAAAATGAAATTTTCTGATTAAGAATAGTTTTTATGATTTAAATATTATTTTATAGATATTCATTGAATTTTTTTAGTATGTGGTTAACAATAAAAACTTAATTCAGAACTAGGTTTTTTTTTTGTTTAACTAAAAAAAACGATTTATTTGAAAAATAGATAATGAAGAAAAGCATATAAATAATGTGAAATATTTTAACTATAAAAATTAAAAGTAATTTTACAGGATAAGTAAATAATGTTTGTAGTAATATTAGTAATTAAACATGCTTAAAGTCAACAGAAACTCCAAACTGTGATACAATTCTTCTAATTTTCATTCTTATTTCCCAATCATTTTCAATGGTTAATCCTTTCTTGATTTCATTCCCATATTGGGTATCCCATACTTCAAGTTCTTTGATTTTTTCATTTAAGTAGATAAAAGTGTCCTCACCCGGGAAGAAAGATTGAAAGGCATCATGTAACATTTTTGCATTAATTTCCTCAACAGCTTGAATATTTTCCTTATTACTGTTATTATTTGCATATAAATTTTTAATATTTGAAATAAATCTTAAAGCAATACCTGCAGATAGGTAATAACAAACCCAATCTACGGTATGTGATACAATAATATGATTAGCATTATATTGACTCCTTTTATCATCCTTTTGATATACTCCTAATTGATTTTCTGATGAATCGGAAAAAGCAAAAATTGGGATCTTATTATCTTGCTGCACAATCTTCATGTAAATCCCTTCCAAATTTGAGCAATAATGGTTCATTCTTAATCCTCTTGAATTTCTATAAATTCCAGTATCCAAATCTTTACTTGGTCTTCCCAATACCATTAATAGACTAAACTTTTTCTGAATATTATCCAAAAACTCTACCCATTCAGAATCTATACCCGGATCTGGGACTACACCTATTACATATGTTTTTCTTTTCTCTAAATTCAAATTTTTAGGTGCATAGCCTATTTCTTGATTGATATCTACATAATGCTTAAATAATTCACTATTACTCAAGATCTGAGAAATCACTGGTTGGTTTATTGAGTCAGTCATAATTACTACAGTAAAACCCAAATTTGATAATGCATTTGAAAGTATTGCCAGACCTGCCAAACCATCTTTTTCTGTTGGTGGTAAATGGCTAACATTGCTAGGAGATAATGCAAAAATCCCTATTACATTATCAGCGTCTGTATCATTTTTTGAGCTTATTTCATATATTTTGTTACTTACTTCTGATATACTTGATAATTTAAGTTTATCTGCATATTCTTTGATGCTTCTTTTAGGTGAAATTGTATCCTTTAACTTTAATTGATCATATTGCTTTAATGCTTCTTCTAATGTTAATACTTGATTCATATCACCATAATAGCTTGGTAATAGATTTACTTTCTCCAATTTACTTGTTTCCTTATTCTCCACTATTTTAACATTTGTAGTATTAATGCTATTCTCAGTCATTATCCTTCTTTTATTCTTTATTTATTAATTCTACAATATTTATTTACCAATATTTTTAATTGAGAAAACTAAATTACTCGATTATACTCCACTTCCTTAAGATGAAGCTTATTTTTAGTAATTGTAATTTTTTTTTTTCAATTAATAACTTTATTTGAAACGAATTATTTTATTATATTTTCTTTTTAAATTTATTAATAAATTATATTATTTATTTCTATATTTGTTTTTGCTCGAAATTACTTTGAAGTATTTATTTTTTATTAATTAATATTTATAAATAAGGTGTCTGAATTTTTCATTCTTATTGAAAGTAACAGATTATACAAATTTTACTATTATATATTAACTATTTAATGGTATACGTTATATTATTATTTTCTTAGCCCCCACTTTCTTTTTCTCGTTTTACAATAGCCACACACTAATTTCATATACCTATTACCTTTTCATTTTATTTATATCTATGCAATTAAATTCACGTATTTCATTTGCGCAATTTCCCTTGTTAAAAGTAAGTGAAATATATTTACCTATAGACACCTCAATATATACATATGTAATTATTTTAAAGTATTATTTTTTTCGCTCGAAATTGCACAATAAATTTTTTTTTAATTTAAAAACCTATATAAAGCCACTAATTGCAAATATGCATTTGGCGCCAAATATAGTAGAGTCAACATAACAAAGCAACTAAGTAAAATCAACGCAATCATGTAAAACAACAATAAAAAACTAATAAACTTTCAAGTTTAATTGAATGATTTTTTTTTTATAAGATCGATCTAGTGTAATATTAACATTAAAAAAAAGAGAAAATTTGCATTGATAAGTGTACTATTTTTACGATAAAATACGTAAAAAACAGAAGAAAAAAAGATAAACAATACTAAATTCAGAGTTCCACTCTTTCTCCATTATATTAACAACAATATTTGTTAGTAGTCAGTAGACCGTCGTGATTGAGTAGAACATAAATCATCATAATGAAGTATTGTTATATAATTAAAATAAATCTATTTAGATATATTATTTGTTTTTAAAAGCATTATTTTTTTTTTATTTGAAAATTCTTAGAAATATACTAATACAATACAGTGAATTGTTATATTGATAAATAAGTTCAAATATTTCTTTTTAATTTGTCCGTTCAATAGTAAAATTAATATTTCATTCCTTCTTTTTTATAATAAATTCAAATTATTTTCTTTTTTTTCATTTTACTTAGATAAAATATTAAAAGTGAAGGAGATAACGACAAAAAAAGTAAAATACTTGTAGTAAATACGACATAATATTACTTGTTAAACTATTGAAAATCTATTTTATTAGTCAATTTAATGTCTCACGCGCCTAAATGACTAAATGTAAAAAATATCATGCATGACTTTCATAATGTGGACATAATATTAAGAAAAAAATTACATGTAAATCATTTCTTTCTAATAAAATGGGAAAATTAAATATAAATAAAATAGAATATAAATTTTAATAACACTGAAAGATTAAATATTTTGTATTATTAATAAACAGTTGAAGAAAAAAACTATTGTTTGAATTGAAAAATGAACGAAATATATAAATGGTTATTATTTAAAAGGTTATTTCGGGGAAGAAAAAAAATATTGGGTGAAGATTCTAAAAATGGTGAACAAACAACTATAAAAAATAGTTTTTGTAATAACGCTAAGAAAAAATATTGCTCAAGAAAGATGGAAGTTGAAATATTGGGCGAACCAAGAATAAGAAAAACATGTTTATCACCAAGGTCAACACCAATTCTACTAGAAATAAACTTTTGTTCTGAAATAAATAATGATGAAAAAAAGTTGTCCAAATCAATAAAAGTAGAGTGGGAATCGACTCAAGATGAAATAGTTACAAAAAAATATTTTTATCTAGATAGTCAAGAAGAAAGTAACTATGAAAAATTGCAAAATAATGAGAATGAACTAAGTGTGGCATATTTAGGAAGGCAAAATAAAAGAGTATATTCAGAGAGAAATGAGTTAATGGAGATGAAAATAAGAGCCTGTAATGATGAGTTTGATTCAACAAAAGTCAATTTATCAAAAAAAAGTAGGATAGAAATGACTAATTCAAGACACCTAAATTTGGGAAAAAATACTAATGATAATGAAAACTATTATAATAATGAATATGAGGACTTGGTATTAGTGGAAGAGTGGTTATTTGAAAAATAAGTGTGGTAATATTTTTTTTTGAAAATAAAAATTTTCCACATTTATTATGAAAAAAAAATAATTGTGAAACTAAACTTAATGTTAATTAATAATAATAAAAAAAAAATACCAAATTAATATATGAAAAAGAATCATTAATTACATTTTGGTGATTTAAAGGAATGAATATCTTAATTAATGATAATATTCACGAAATTAAGAATATTTATGAGCATGATAGTGAAAATGACTTAATTAATAAGAACTATAACATTGTTGGTATTAATAAGAGAAGAAAAACGGCATGTGAAAGGGAAGCTATTTTTAACAGATTAATATTAAATAATCCAAGTATAATTAGTATCGATAAGACATTGCTACCTGGGACTTGCGTATATTGTAATATATGCCAAGTAAGAATAATATTGAATCCGGCATACTATCTGAATAATTGGAGAACGCATATGAATGGCAAATTGCATAAAGCATTATCAAAAGCAGTTGGAAGTCCACAATTTTTGGATGAAATAGATTTTTGTTTAGAAAAAGAAGAAGATTCATACTTTGATTCATTAAATATATTGGGTTACGACAGTAATAATATAGATAATTTTGTAGGTAATAGTGGTAATACCAATTCAATTAATAATATTCACTATACTCACAATCATCATAATAATCCAAATGAAAATATGAACACTGCTAATTGTATGGAAAATTATGATTTAATGATAAAAAATGCAAGAATGTTATCATGTATAAGTAATTCAATAAAAGACAATAATGAAAATATGATTAACAATGGAAGTGACAATAATAATATACAATGTGAAATGAATCATTATGATAATAAAGTTATGGAAATATTTGAAGAAGAAAATGACAGTAAAAGTAATGTTAATGGTTTAAATATTGAGGAATTAAACAACAGGAATCTGGCAAGTAATAATATTGATACTCTGGAGAGTGAATTTGAAATGAAAAATCATGCAGAAGAAAATAATAGCCAGATTCAAAAGCAAGAGTATGTAATACATCCATTAATAACAAATTTAGGAATGGAAAAGAATAAAGTAATTCCAGAAATCAGCTTTATTATGGGGGACAACTTATATAATAATGTATTATATTCACAAAATTGTGAAATTGGTAATAACAATAATGAAAATAATAATAGAATATTAGATAGAGATGAGATTTTATCTGATAAGGAAAAGTTATTAAATGATAATTATTTACAAGTTTGTCAAAGTGACATTAATAATAATAGTAATATTAATTACAATGAGAATAATATAAATTTAGATAAAGATGATCATTTAAATAGTCTGGTTAAATATTACAATTCTAATCAAAATAACAATTTTTATGATAAAAATAGAATAGGGAAACTACAAGATAATTTATTAATAGAACAAGTAAATGATAGTAAATTTCAGAACAATATAGTTGATAGTCAAAACAATAATAATGAAGCCAATAATTCCTATTTAATATTAGGAATACCTGTAATATCTCCATTAGTAAGAATGAATTTTGAACAAATCGGAACATTCTATTGCCCAGGAATAAATAAAGTAAGATATTGGGCAATGTGCTTCATAGGCTCAGAAAGATCATCAGAGCCTGAAAGTGATTTAAATAATTATAATGACACAAGAAGAGTGTTTTATAAACAGTCTATAATAACAAAAGTAAGCCCAAATCACGAACCAGAACACCAAGGAGTGGTTCATCATCCAAATTGTTTGGAAATCGTATCAAAACCCAATGAACCATGTGAGAGATGCAGCCTATACATTAACAATAGACAATTAGCGCGCGTCATTAGTAAAAGAGCTACAAGACTACAAGAAATGTGGGACAGGGTAGTAGCAGGCGAAAGCATAATAAATGGCGGTAAGATCCCACAGTCCATTATTTCTGCATATAACCACAGGATAGACCATTGGTCCAGATGCAATGATCCTCTGGAAGCCATTACACGAGCTCTTGCTGGTTGTAGACAAAGAGACTACACCAATTTCTTTTGGAAAATACGTGAGAACTTATTAAAAAATTCCAGATTAATTAGAAATCAGATATAATAATAATAAAAGATTTACTAAATTTAGAAAACACACATATTTCCCGCCAAATATTATTAGTAATTTATTCCTATTTATTATAATAAAAATGTAACTGGGGGGGAAATTTAAAAAATATAACTTAATTAATAGGTATAACATACATAAATATATGTTTTAATTTAAATTCAAATTGTATATTTTTTTCTTAATATTTTGAGGATACATAAAACAAATTTTTTAATATATTTGTATTAATTAGAATTAATTTTTTTTCATCTTTATCAGTAATATTTAAGAATAAATTAAAAATGACAGTCCACAAGGTGAATTCTGTAGATGGTAAGTTAAGATATCTCTGATTGAATCGAATTGATGTGAGCAAACAAAATTTGGTATATATAAGTCATTAACTTAAAAGGAAAAATGGTGATTGTTCTAAAATAATTATAAGGTCGTATATTTTAAGCCAAAATATCCAAATTCAATTTTATTTTACCTATTATTGATTTGCTTTATAATTCAATTTCGATTTCTTCTAAGATTTATATTACTTGGGATCAATTTAAACAAATATTGACTTTTGTATTAATTTCATTTTTAATCCTTTTTTTTTAATCAATTTTTAAATGATTAGAATACAAGAATTACGTTTCAAGACAAGGTCTTGTTGTTGTTGATTATTTTGCAACTTGGTGTGGACCATGCAATATGATTGCTCCAAAGTTGGAGGAATTTAGTGAGCAACTTAAAGATGTTCTTTTTATTAAGGTTGATGTAGATTCACTTCCAAGTGTTGCTGATACAGAATCTGTTAGAGCCATGCCTACATTCAAATTATTCCTGAATGGTAAAGAAATAAAGAGTGTTGTTGGTGCCAATTTTGAAGTAGTTCAACAAGCAGTTTTATCAAATAGACCATGAGCATTGAGTATTCAGTCAATACTTTGATGGTAATTTTCAACATTTATGATTATTTCCCTCAAAGTCTAATTGTTGAATTTCTCACTATTTTTTGTATTGTTTGCTCATTTTAATAGGATACCTATTATCTGTACTTGTATTTTCCCAACAAGTTCAACTTTTATTTGTTGATCGTTTCTAATTTATTTAATTGAGTTATTTGAATCAATTCGCTTTGTAATGAGAACTACTGAGTAGAACGGATCCTTAGTTTTTTTGTTGTACCTTTATAATTTAAAAAAATTACTAGTGAAATTTAAATAAGAAAAAAATTGAGAAAAGTTTTAAGTTGAAATAAAACATGATAATACTGAAACTAGAGTAAAGATATATATATAAATGATTTTAAATGACTATAAGTGGCTATATACTTGAAATCATCCTACTATTTGCATTCACAAATCAAACTAATGTTTTCACCTCTTAAAAGCAGTTTTCCTACACTTGTTTCCTTTCTAACTTCTTTTTTTGTATATACCTCAGATGCCTGATCAAGCACAATATTCATATATTCATCAAAACCCTAAAAATATATTAAAAATCATTTAATATATAAAAGAAGAGAATATTATTCATTTAAGGAACTTACCTGTATTACTCCTTCCAAAACCAAATCTTTGTGATCATATAACCAAATTTGTACTTTTTGTTTAGAAGTAAACAAATGGAAAATTTGGTTAATTGGTTGTAACATCATTTTTTGGGTCTTCCTTTTTGTTTGAGAACTCATCTTTATCTAAATCTCCAAAGAATTAACTTATTTTACTATTTGAAAATTATATATTGAATTAAACTAATTTTTTAATATTTATTTAAAAGTAAAATTTCTTTTTGGTATCTTTTTTATTTTTTATATATAAAATAACTTAATTATTTAATAAATGACTATTCCCCACAAAGCCCGCTCAAACGACGTCAATCTAAAATAACAAAATGCATTAATTGACCAATTAGATTAAATTAATAAATGGCGAAATAAAAAGATAACTGGTTGAGAAATGAAAATGATTATTAAAATAATAATAAATCACTAGTTTGGTGATTTTTTTTTCTGTAATATATATGGTTAAATAAATAAAAAAAATATGCATTGTATTATCATTGGTAACTAATAGTGGTTTGATGATAAGTATTTCGTCATTAGTTTTATAAAACTTTAATCTCTTTCAATTTTTGAATTTATATAATTTTTAGTAAATTACTTATAACTTTATTTAATTTAAATTATTCTTATTTTCAACGAAAATTGTATAATTAATCATCGTCTTTTGAACATCTTCTGCACATCAACATTACCATACATATCATCATTGTAACAACAACTCCAAATGCAATAGTAGTGAAAGACAATGCACTAGGAGTTCCTGTTCCTCCTAATATTCCTTGAACGCCTCCTTGTTGAGCTGCTCCTGCTGCACCTGCTGCACCTGCTGCACCTGCTGCACCTGCTGCACCTGCTGCACCTGCTGCACCTCCTCCATGACCAGCTCCACCTCCTCCATGACCAGCTCCACCTCCTTGATTTGGTGCTGCTCCTGAAGCGGCGGCAGGAGCTGCCATTCCTCCTACTTGGCTAGCTGCTGCTCCTTGAGTTGTTGGTGCTGCTCCAGGAACAGCAGCAGCAGCTCCTCCCATTTGTGCTCCTGCCATTTGTGTAGCACCTGTTGTTGCTAAACCTACAGAAGCTGTTCCTGCAGGCCTACCAGAAGCTGCAAAATTATTCATTGCAGGATTGGAAACTAATGGAGATCCTGTTGCAGATTGAATTCCTGTTGAAACTGCAGTACCAGCGAGGCCAAGCAAAAAGTTACCCAATCCTCCTTCTTTAAGTTTTTCTTTATATCTCAAACATTTTGACTCTTTTGTAAATATGATTAAAATGATTGTTATTAATAAAAATACTGAATTATATGTCTTTTTTGAATAGCGATTTAATAATGGCATTATTTTTGTCAGTATTTCGCTACTTTCAATTCTTCATTAATATTATTTTATTCCCAATTATTAATAATATTATTTCACTTTTAAAGTTAATTGTATGTATATATGTATATATATACATAAATATATATATACAATATATTTATACATAAAAATATTATATGGTGTCGAGTATAATAAATATATCTATCTTTTGTTTAAAATTATATATATTTATTAAAGTTATTTTTGTTTAAATCATTAAATTATAATACAAGGGAAATTTCAGAAATTATTTAATTAATTTTAGTGTGCATAATAATAGCTAACATTAATTTTTTTTTTTTGTACAGGGTGCATAATATTATTCAAAACAAAAAAAAAATGTCCTAATTACCTCAATTTTTATTTTTGTATTATTTGATAATATATATATTTTAATTCAAATAACTAATTACAATAGCCTATGTACTAAATTAACTTAATTCAAAGTATTTTTTTTTTTTTAACAATAATAATTTCAATTTGGGCAAAAATCTATAATCACCCACTACTGTTTGTTACATGCAATAAAAAACAAGTCAAAAATAGGCATATTGGCGCCAACAAAAAATTGAAAAATAAGTTATATCTCTAATTATTCTTTTTAATAATCGATGTAGATTCTAAAGAGTTTCTATGATGAGTAAGATTTCTATTAAATCTAAGTGCAGAGGATATAACAAAATAATTACCAATAATTAAAGCAATAATGAAGCCAAAAATGAACGATGCAGATTTAAAAGAAATTTGGTCAAAAAATGTATTAATTATTTCACCAATAATTTGAGCTGTAAAAATCGATTTTCTGGCAATAATTGTTGGATTTTGAGACATACATCTTTCCCATTCAGTACATTTTGATTCCATAGCTGGTACTCTTTGTTCTGGTTGACATTTATTATCAACATAATGTTTTGAACAGATATTCATTTCATCCAATATATTTGTAATTGAAATCTGAATTTTTGACTCAATATCATTTTTTATTACAAATATTATTCCAAATATTATATACAGTGTGATAAGAACAATTATTATATTGAAAATTAATCGAATAAACTCTTGTGTAATTTCAATATTCATTCTTTTGAAAGAATTAATATATGAGTTTTGATTTAAATCACGTGATAATTTATTGAATGAATTACAATTATATTTTTCTGGTTTAAAATCTTCATTAGAAATTTTGATTTCTTTTTTTTTAAATAAATTCAAACCTTTACAGTAGTTATTTGGTGGTGGAAGAGAATGAGATCTATTTAATTGATTTTGATAAAATATATTATTATAACTATGATTATTATGATGATTATTGTAATTATTAATATCTTTATTGTTGATTTTTAAATTAGATTTTAATTTGTCTTTATCCAATTTTTGATTTAGACTTTGATCAACAAATTCAAAACTATCCAAATAATCATTTCTTTCTTTATAATCAGAATTCTTTTTGTTACTTAAATTTGTGAAACCACTATTAATATAGCCATAGTCATCAATTATCATTGCATTAGTCGTATCTTCTTCAAAGCCTTCTTTTAAAATTTTGGGGTTTAACTTCAACATTAATTTCTGGCTTAAATCCTCGATTTCTAACTCTTCTAATATTATATTACTCATCTCAACATTATTTTCAACTAAACTATATACTAGAGGAATAATTAATTATAATGAATGTATTTTTATGAACTATTGTAATTTCTTAATTCATATATTTTATTATAATCTTTAATTGTTTATCTTAAAGTTTGGCGCTAATAAAAATTTAATATATAACTGAAATGATGATGATCATTATTGTTGTTTTCTTTGTTTAATAATATTATTCCTAAAGTTTTCCTGAACATCTTTCAGACTTATTTTCTTTGAAGTTGAATCAATAATCTCTAAACTTTCTTGATTTGTACTTGATGTATTGGTTTTAATGTTATGATCCAAACTATTATTTTGTTTTATATTACTAATTAAATTAGGAATGAATACTGTGGGTCTCTTGATCCCTGTTTTAATATTACTGCTCATTTCATTTTCATCATTAATATAACCATTTTCAGATTCTAATAATTCATCTGAATAGATAACCTCACTGTTATTTTTCTTTAATATGTCGTCAATAAATTCAGCCTCAACTAATTCATCTTGTAATGATTTCATGCCTTCAATATCTTTTGGCTCAGAATTGTTTCCTGAGATGTAATATATTGAATATCTTTTTCTTTGACCTCTCATAGTTGATGTACATAATAATGGAGAATTGTTATCGGATTCATCATTTTTTTCAATTTCATTTTGCAATATCTTTCCATTATTAGAGATTGATTCTCTTGTTTCTTCTATTTTCATAGGTTCATCAACATCTGATATTTTATTTCCTTTTACTTTTTTTCTATTATTCATTTTTAAATAATCATTTAAATATAATGTATCATTCTCAAGATCCTCAGCAAATTCGTTCCTACTTCTCTTTACCTTACGTGCTGGAGAGTTAATTACTTTAATGTCATTCATATTCCTTTCTCTTTCTTCTTTTTCCTCTCTTTCAATTCTTTCTTTTTCTTCTCTTTCAATTCTTTCTTTTTCTTCTCTTTCAATTCTTTCTCTTTCTTCTTTTTCAATTCTTTCCTTTTCCTC